GGGGTTAGGTGCACTTTAATAGGCATGAGATCAATGTTTTTGACCTACGAACATGAAAACTCTCAATTACAGTTAGAGAGTTGCAGAATTTTCACTCATTTATCTTTCAAGCTACAGTGGAACCAGGTTAAAACGGACACCAAAGAGACATGCAAGTGTCTGTATTAAATCATCACTACCTCTATTATACTTGTAAACATCTTCATAGTACAGACACTGGGCCAACCTACCTGAGTGGTCTGCCTGTAAGAGACACTCGAACTGACTGCAGTGATTTCAGTAGGTGTTCAGCAGACACATCTGTTCTCTGTAGCTCCTTCACGTAATCATCTGGTGACGTCAGACCAGCATGTGAAGTTTTCTTGTTACATAATTGAAGAAAAAAATAATTATTATTGTTAAGACTATTTTTGGATAAAAAGATGTTTCTACTAATATCTATTAGACAAGCACATTTATGCCTGAAGGCAACTTATGACTGCTGTTAGATGTTACATGTACAACTTTGTCATGTAACTTTGTCAACTTCAAATAATAATTAGCGCCTGGATGCATTCCACTTACATTCCACTACAGTACATGGATTCTTTAGATCCATACTAACAGTCTCCTGCTTATAGCATTGATTTACCTGGGAAGCCATTTGTCTTCTTTTAAAACTGCACAGCATGTCCAGCTTGGTTGCCATGTCTCTGTTACGAATGGGTTCTCGGAGACTTTCTGACAAATTCATATCTTCCTGCACATGAAAACAAAAAAAAAATGGCAAAACAAGGCTTAGTCAATAAACAGTCCTGAACACTTTTCAGCTTCCAGTCCCGATGAAAACAAATGAGTTCTACAATAACTAAATTAAACTGTCTACATGTACGTATTCCGAACCTAAATGTACTTTTGTTACATGTATATTCAGTATTACTAATTTGAGAAATAAAGATATTGCATGTAGAGAATTCTAGAATTAATGCAACCTGTAAATAACAACAAAGTCATACATGCTAAGCTTGACTACCACTCTACTAAATCCTACAACACCCCATTTTAAAAGTATGCCAACTGCAACAAAAGAGAACACACAGACTTCCAGATTCCATGATTTCCCAGTCTGAGAAAACTAGCAGCTCACACTGAACCTTCTAAAAGAGAGGGACTGTAACAGCCCTATGCAACCCATTTGCACAATATTAACAAAGGACTGACAATAATAATAATGACGATAATGATGATGATGATGTTTAACTGACAACTGTTTAGCCTTTGTGCACTCAATTCCTCTCTGATTCAAGCAACTGTCATATTTGACCAAAATAATTCTATAAGTACATGCTGATGATACAATTTACACTAGCTTTATATAGATCTGTGCAGCATGTCTCTTTGATCGTTGTCTGTTTGATTGCTGTCTGTTTGCTATTTTTAAATTATACTTGCTAATTAACCATTAAAATCCCAGGAGTGATCAAAATATAAGTTCTCATCACACTACCAATACATTATCAACCAAACAGATGATGAGAATAAAGAAATTCATTATCTACAACCAAATTCTCAGGACTGACTTTGAAAGAACTGTATATCAGTCAATAAGAGGAAATGACATTTTGAACTTAAGACTGAAAGGATTAATATTAATCCAATACACAGCATTGATCTCCTGTAGAGCTGTGTTATCCATATGGAATTTTCTAATCCAAATCTAAGGCATCACTCAAGCAGCACAGGAATTGAAAGTGGAACAAAGTATTTCCTGTTTAATTTAGTCCCCGAGCGCAGGACTTGCTAAGCTTGGCTACTACTCCCATGATCAAGTAAAAATAATCGTCATAGTACTCTAGAGATCATTAAATGCATTTATGCATGAAAAAATCAATTTGACACCTTGTGTGCCTGGCGTAGAAATAGAACATGACTTAACATGCAAAAATGAGACAGAACTGCCTAAACTTGCTCAACCAACATATTTTTTTTAATAATACAGTAACTGTTATTAAAGGTCCGGTAATACGGGCGACATTTTTCTTCAACTTGTCTCGCAACATTGTTGCATTGCAAGCTGAAACCCTCTATTGCACGTATTACCACGTTTGTGATTAAGTTATCTCACAGCAAAATACAGTATTGCAGGTTGAGGCAACATGTTGCACAAAGTAGACTTGAGTTCTACTTCCTGCAACAAATTTAAGTTTTGCTGCTCGTATTGCCACTGAAGCTACAACTTGTCTCGCAACAAATTTGAATTCAACCCTTGTAATTGGCTGTCACGAAGCGCGGGAAATAAAAAGACATGGCAGATGGTGAAGACGAGCCTGAATTCGAAGTAGACCAGTACCGGAAACTCTCAGAAAGTCATACATTTGCCCTGTACAAAGACCTTGAGGGCTATCATAGTCTTTGGGACACCTCGTTTGTCCCTTCAAAAACAAGCAGCAAAAAAGGCAAAAGGCTTGGAAGAACTGTCGTAAAAATACAACTTTCGCCTTGCTATCTGAAACGACACTGAGCTTCATACTGAGAGAACTTTGCTGGCACTGAAAATTAAGAATAAAATGTCGGCCAGAAGTCAAAGTGGAAGTTCATCGAAACGCTAAATTATATGAAAGAAGGAGCCATCTTTATTTACACACGATTGACCAATTACACATGTAGAATTCCGCAGACTTGCAACACTGTATTTTGCTGCAAGACAAGTTGGTCACAAATGTGATCATACGTGCAACAATGTGTTTCAACTTGCAATGCAACAATGTTGCGAGACAAGTTGAAGAAAAATGTTGCCCGTATTACTGGACCTTAATAGTACTAATTGTTGTGGCAACCCCCAGAAATGCAAATTGTGTTCACAATTCATTAACTACTAGTGTCAGAAATGGTTTCGAAAATTATCAATAACATTATTAATAGTCTTACTTGAAAATGACATAATGCATGACAGAAAGTTTGTTTAAAGCTTCAGATATTTTTAATGACCTTTTCTCTTGATAAAGTATTCGCTGATAAGGTTAACAAGAATTAATACTTTTATTATTGTTCATCCTTCCTAGAAGCAAGGTCATCATTTTGTAAGTGATTCAATGTACTAATGTACAATGAACTAATGTCGCAAGCCGCGGCGAAAATGTCATTGTTCATTAAGTTTCAAAAAAGTTACCTAATTTCTGCAAATGAAACCCGCCCACTGACACCTCCGAGCATTTCATAAAATACTGTTTAAACTGCGAATAAAGTGGAAAAGGGAGCCTCAATTAAATGCAACTTGCACGAATATTAAGAAAAAAAGAGTGATCCCGCAGTGACACTGCATGAAAAGAGATACAATTTATTAAGTAATGTGTTTCAAATATTGAATTTGGTTCAATGTCGCCTAATATCAACTGTTTTAATCACACATCGATAATTGGGCAAGATTTGTATTCCGCACGCAGAAATGGTAATTATACCTGCAGCTAAACTTAGCGCAGATCAGAGACAAAGTTTTTTCTTCACCAGAGAAAATGGTCCAGACATGAATCTTAACACGTTGTAGCGAATTTTATAAAATTAAATCATTCCTATTTCAAACCGGCTATGACACATAAAAGATCGTACCAGAAATTTCGAAAACAATTTGAGAATTTCATGCATGCATTTTCATAATAACACATCGCCCGAAGCTCTGATAATTTCTGCACTTTATCGCGATCGAGATAATTTACAGCCCGAAACTTTGTAAAAGATCTCACCTAAAACACGATCTCCCTGTGACTTACCAACATCTTCTCAAACATTTTGTTAAACTCCTCAGCCGGTGCATGTTTAACCCGGTCGATCTCATCCTCCATGTCTTGGTCAAATAGAGGTTCTTCTTGTGTGCTGCGCAATCGTTCTTTCACCTTGTGCCCATTGACATCTTTGTCCTTGCTCTTTTTCGTCTGTTTTCGCATGGATGTTATGCGATTCAGCTAAAAATAACGAGATGTCTCAGTCAGTATCGCAGCTTTTGCAGCAAATTTGTATTTAGTGAACGCGAAAGTCATATAATTGACGACTCAGCCGTTAGCGAAAACAAAAACAACATCGGGTACTTGATACTTACAATCCCGCCGCCTTCCTTCGGGGCAGGATTCAGTTTGTCACCCATCTTGCTTTCACGTGTTACGACAATGCGACCAAAACAACACGTCTTCCAAAAATAAATGCTTTACATGTCTTTGATTGCCTCTTTAGCACCAAACATCCCCTGCTTGCAAAGCGAAAATAGTAGGAATAACGACCACAATTCACGCATGCGTAAACTTCCGCCTGCGGCTCCCGTGAATCACTTCGGGTTGCAGTTGTTTGCGTGACTTGAAAAAAGTCGAAAAGAGTTTTCTTTTTATTCCTCCAGTTTGTTTTGTATCCCAAAAAGACAGGTTTTAATGCCCCCCAAAATTAGGGCATCTCTTAACTTAGAGTTTTTTATTGCTTTCATCATTCAAATGAACCCGTTCCACTGGTGGTGAATATTTACTTTCAGATGGTCACGCAACATGGAATTCCGTTTTGCCTGACCTAACCGCAGCCCGGTAATCATGCAATAGCTTCTTTTCGTCAAGCACAAAAGGCTGGAAAAAGTTAAAAAGGGCGGAAGAAGTTACTCTCATGCAGTCTAAGATTATCAATATTTTTATCATAACTTTTGTATCATAAAAATCAAAACATAACGATCTGAAAGATGGCAGACACAAAATGAATCGTGCTACGATGACGTCATTATTTCCGGGTAAAATGGCATTCAATAAAAATACCTTAAATCGTGCTTTTGCGTGAACGCAACATCCGTTATAAGGCTTACAGCAACTATGACACACACGATTTGTTTCATCGAACAATGCTTTAGTAAACCATAACCCAGAACACTCAATGCCCTTCAATTCAGGTCAACAGTGCGAGAAAAAGTATCTGAATGATCTTTTCCATGGCAACATTCCACGAATAATTTCGAATTTTTAAGACGATGACATGCGTATTTATTGCGGGCTGAAAATACTTAAGCATTGACTAATCATTTAAATTTGGCTCGACGTCTCCGTGGGTTTTTCTTGAGAGCCATAGAGTGCCATGTATAGAACTGGTCCTATATTCGTTACAATTCAGCATTCTTATTGGTCCCCTGGACAGTCCGAATTTTGCATTGCGGATCACATCGATGATTTGCACCGTGTAAAAAGTCTGGGCAACAATTTTAGCTGTACCTCTAAAACCATTTCAACCGTGTAGAAAAGAGCCATTGCTTTAGTAATTCTCGATCTGATAATTGAAAACTGCTGTTTTAGTATGTTTTGGTAAAAAATTATCGTGAAAGAGATAGATGTGAAAGCTATATAGACAAATAGATACATGAATAAATCTAAAAATCTCTTTAAGGCATAACTCTTTAAAGCAGCCTTACAATTTGCTAAGCTAAGGTATTTACAGCTGTTAGAGTTTAAGTCTAAGATTCGAGAAAGACTCCATTGGCTCCTTTAAATCTTCTGTTAGAAAATATTTTTTGTCCAAAAACTCTTAGCTTAGTTTTTAGTTGTTCATATCTAGATTTAGATTTTTAAATTTTTATCTTTTATCATATCTTTAAATTTTAGCTGTATTCTATTTTGCAATTTTTATTATCTTATAAGTGTAAATAGTTTTTAATTTCTAACTTAGGATAGAGGGCCACTGGTTCGTCAGTTTTTTACTGTTATGTGTTGCCCTCTATAAATAAAGTTGTTACTTACTTACCTACTTACTAAGGAGTTCATTCTACTGAAGCCAACCGGCTCTTCTTACAAAGGATCGTTGGTCGTGGCTGTTCTGAATAGCGGAACATCTAACTTATTTACGAGTGGACATCGGCTTCAACTTCTTCAGTTAGAATCAGTGTTGGAAAATATTCAGTGATCCTTTGCGTATTTTGATGACTTTAAGCTTATGGCTCGTTCATAGGCAAGAGGTCAGCTATCTCCGTCCCCATATTTATTCGTCGGAGACAAAATTCATTCGAGGACATGCTACCTAAGCCTGAATTTCAGCTGCGAGTAGATGACCAGAGAGGACATGTGATTTTCAGGCTAATGTTAATTATGTTTACCAGTGCGAAGAACTTTACTGGTTCTCGCCAAGAGATTATCATCTCTTGTTCTCGCACAATTAATCGTTTTTTGGCTCTGTAACACTGGGACTAGCCTCATCCAGGCGTTCAGTTAGCTGGGGCGCATTGTGAAAATGGCGCAAGAAAAAATAGAGGAAAAGTGCGGTGCGGGAAGGCACCAAGTCTCTCTCCTTAATTTCACTCCGCCGTTTTTTCGCGCTGCGCCCCCAACTAACTGAACGCCTGGAAGGGGCTTCACTGGGACAAGAGCACCGATCCCGCTAACCACAGGCGCACGCAAAGAGAGAAACCACAAATCTCGTTTTCTACAGTGTGCGAACGTCTTTGTGGAGGTTTGTTTAGTACTCTGCTATTAGTCCTATAGCGTTTAATAGGCCATCACCTGGCCCGCATGTGCAAAGAAGTACCTGGCCTAGTAATCAAGGAACGAAAACAGAGGAATGTGTGATATTCAGATCAATGTTTCTCTCTCATCTGGGCCTCCAGAGCCGCTTATTATTGACACCTCTTTTAATGTTGTTCCGAGAATTTATCGGGTCATTAATGCAGGAAGGAAAGGAAAGGAAAGGAGACACAGGAAGGAAACAGCGGATGACATCTGCATGCTCGGTTGCCTGACCAAAAAAAAAAAAATTAATCAGTAAAATACTTTAGTCAGGTGTCATGGTATTTACGATTGCAACACAAATTGGGGCAAAATCGAGAAACAAACGTGGTAAATAGAGCTGAAAGTTTGTTGAAAATTCCAACCAACAATAAGACCTCTCGATTAAAAGCCGATTAAAAGTAATTCCTTTCAAGCCATACTTCTTTAGTTCCTCATTTTTCAAGGTTAGTCCAGTGGGCGACTGCGCGAGTGAGCACGATAATGGCCTCGGGTATCCACTTGACTAATCCTCAGAATAATGAACCACTAGCAGTAGTGTATTTTCCGTGATTGATCACGATTGTGAAGACCTGTAAAGGTGACGTAACAGACTACGAGTAGTCCTTCCTTCGCTTAGTCCGTCGTGCGTAACACGAAAGACAACGGCGAGAGAGAAACGGCCACGGAGCCAGGATCTCGCTCGGCTAATTTATTCGCCCGGTTTTCTTTCGCATCACGCACGAAGGGCAGAGCGAAAGAGGTACTACTCGTAGTGTAGTGATGAAGAGATGAGTTCCAGCAGTTTTGATCCCGTTAAAATGGAAAACCTCAGTTTTTAATGAGATTTCTTCGCGCTCTTGTTTGTAACCAAATAAAGGGTGGCCATGCATGGGTGACTGATTGATTGAATCCATATTTCACTATAAACAAGTCCTTCATAATAATTGGGACCTTTACATTCCTCGTATTGAATTCCCAGAAAAAGGTGGTAAAAAGACGACTTTCTTCGCCCGATCAATTTTTCTCGTAGCGGAGCTGTGAACGTCCGGCTAAGATTCCGGAGGGTACCCCTAGAAAAATTGGGTAGAGGTGTGCGACCCGCTTCTCAAAATCTTTACCCTATTTGTGACCAAAATCTGCGATTTTCTGTATCCTATTTAAATTATGACCTGACTAAAAATTCGATACCCTATTTAAGACCTAACCCTTGACTCAATACCCTGTTTCAGACCTGCCTTATAATTAGTTCCCTAGTTCAGATCGATGTTAAAGGCATTGTAAAATTCTTTTGTAGATGGTCTTATCGATAATGATGAAAAAGGTAGCCTTTTCTACAAAAGAAACCAATTCAAGACTAGAGTGCAAAAACCATACCCTTTCCGAGACCAAAATGGCCAAAAGCGATATCCTATTTCTGACCAAAACGGTTGAAAATATAGCTCATATAAGGGAGTACCTCCCCTCGGGACCTGGTTCGACCTACTTGTAGGTCCCTGTCATTTCGCTCACATTGTAATAACTGAGTGCTACCTACTGTTGTTTGCGTGCTTTACAGTATTGTTTGAATAAATGCAAAGCCAAGAAATTTAATTTGTGGCATCATTATAGAGACATGGAGTTTTGTTTCAACTAACCATTTAACCAGGGGCCGCTACACCTGATTAAATTGTGCCTGGTATAATTAACTGACCAGTTTGCATATAATATAACTAACGATATAAAAAGAGTCCCATTTTCTGTCTCAGTCAGGGAAACTAATGCTTTTTTTTATGTAAACCTTCGTTAAAGCATTCCGAAAGTTTTCGATTGGTATCATTCAATCAAACCCTATCGCGAGCTCTTACGAGTTCTCCGGAAACTGACCGCAGTATGGTGCAAATAGGATACATTATGTTGGTTAGTACAATTTCTGTTCAAGCCTACGTATGTCAATTTTGACAAGATGAGGTAGATTTCTGATCAAAGAGGTTACAGTATTTTTGATATATCACAGCTTAGTCGAGCTGAGACCCACGTATAATATTCGTGTACGTTCGAGTACAATGGATACGTGGTTTCACAATATATCTTGCGTTACGGTTTTCCGTTGTTTATAACTATTTGGAGTTTGAACTCTCATTTTACCAAAGTTAATAGAGGGGAATGATTATAAAATCCGACAAAGTTCTTTGTTGTATGTTTTTGGCCTCGTTTTTGTCCTTGACCGTGCACGAAACACAATACTTGTTTACTTCTGACTCATAAACTAACCAACAGAAATGCTTTGGTTACGTAATTCATGCAGAGTGTATGAGTGCAAAACAAAAAATTGTGCACGGTCGTGGACCTTCTAATATAAATCTTGGCATCTTTGTTTACTCCTTGGATGTTTGCCGGGCTTCATAAACATTCCCCTCTATTAACTATGATTTTACATGCTACTGAAAGAATCGCAGAATGAAAGGTCATGGAGGTCATTATATAGGCTGACCTTTCCCTTCAGTCAAAGATTCAACAACGAAGCGTAACAACAATCGCTGTACGACTACTAGCGAATGTCGCTATCATCATCATCTTCGTCATTGTCATCGTCATTAGGATCACAAGGATCCATCATTCCTTTAAATTCACTTATTTCCTTGTGCTCGCCATAAGACGATGGTCCCGGCTTTTTCTCCTCGCGTCCAGGTATGTGCAATCTCAGGGTCATAACGGTGACACTGGCAGGCGCTGCAAAAACTATCTGGTCACCCAAAGGACAGACTGCAAAAGGGTTTGTGTCCACCGTAAAAGTGGTCAGCTTTTTACCCTTGATAAGATCCCAAGCCTCAAAGGAACTGGGTTGGTACCCTTTGGCATCTGTTGTTATTGCAGTGGTCCCGTCATGGTTGAGGTAGATCTTGTCGATGTCCGTGGAAACAAGGTCGTGAAGCAGATTTCCACTCTGGATCTCCCAAACTTTAAGGCTCTCGTGACTTGTCACAGCTAGCATGCTCTTCGATGAAATAGCGACCATGTTTCTTCCACTAGAACCTTCAGCCAACGTATGCATTAGCTTTCCCGTTTCTGTGTTCCACAGGGCGCTTACCTGATCGTTTTTCAGCTGTAAGATGAAGTATTTACCATCTTCCGTAATGGCGGAACCATCCAAACCCAACTGCTCCCCCTCAATTGGATCCATTACCTTGTGTTCGTGCGTCTTGGTATTAAAAACCAGAAGTGGAACTGTCGTGGCGTCTTGCTCGACATAAAAACTGGCTTGGGAGCAAATCACTTTGCTTCCATCTTCACTAATTAGAATTCCTTCCAGGCGATACTTCTGGCCAAGTTTGTACTGTCCTACAACCTGCCAGTAAAGCAAACAACTTTGAACGTAGTTAACTTTTCCATTAATAGCTTTGAATAGATATTAACATGGAGGTGAGATAGGTGCTTTGACCTCATCTTGGCCAAGCATGAGTCAATCAAAAAACGTAGTTCTATGGAAAATGAAACGAGAGAGTGAAGGAGATGATTCACACCAGAGAAGCCACGTGATGAGCGAAATTCTCAAAACTGTCCTTAATTAAACACCAAGAGAGAGAAAAAGAAGTCACGATGCAGTCTTTAACAGGACTGACAGTCCTTACCAAACTAGGAATGGCACACGATAAGTGAGAAATAGAAGAAATCTTGCCATGTGGCCAATTTCAAATTGGCCGAGGATTAAAAAAATAAATAAAATTACTGTATAAGCTACTTAGGTTAATTTGAAAAACAAAAGAACTGTTCATTACCTTGCCAGTGTCTACGTCCCACACTTTCAAGTTCCGTCTGCCACGTGACAATCCAATGAAATTCTTCTTGTCAATAAACCCGACGGCCTCCAGTCGTTTGCTGGACTTCCCTTGCAGAACACGGAGCGTTTTTGCCTGGTCAAAGTCCATGAACTTGTAGTGATCAAAGTTATCTTTCTTTTGTTCTCCCACAGCGATTCGTCCAACGCCAACCTTGTCAGTCAGCATACGCAGAGGCTGGGGGAAGTTATATGCTTTGATAGAGCGGACTTTGACACCGGTAAGTGCATCCCACACTGCAATCTCAGGCATCATCTTGACGGTGCAGCTTGCGATCACGTGCCGATTGTCTGCTGCAACTGAAAGCATCCATATTGAATCAGCAAAGCCTTGTGTCGTGGCAGTGACATCCGTCTCATCATCATCGACGCTCTCTCGCGCATCGTAAATTCGAAGAACCCCATCCGATCCGGTAGTTGCTACAAAATCTCCCCTGCGCCCGTAAGTACCAAAGCCTGGTTGTAATCTAGCAACGACGGTGGCATCACCCGTGTCAAGGTCCCATTTTACTAATTCGTAGTTATTCCTTATAGCGATAACTTTCTTCCCGTCCTCTGCGACAACAAGGCGATCGCGTTGCCCAATGCCGAACTCTGGGATATCTGAAACGTGCTTGCCAGTAGCAGCGTCATAAACTTTAAGCTGCTTTATAATATATCCATCTGACACCACAAGCAACTGCTTTCTGGAGGTAAGGTGGACTTGTGTTATTTCTGTGTCTTTCAACTCGCCTCGGATTTCTTCCTTTCGCAACTCCACATTTATCTAAATAGAACAGTGAGGCAAAACTGAAAGTTATACAGGCAAAGATGCATGGTTATCAACAAACATTGACAACTGACATTGCTAATACTGACTTGAGGGCGAAGCATGATTCGTATTAATAAATGTTTGAAAAATCTTTAAAAATCTCCTTTCTCCTTACATTAAGAAACAGTATGGTAGTCAGTACCGAGAGTTAATATGTTCATATTTATATCGAGAGCAAATGTGGAATGTTTTAAAAATATGAGTGGGCGTAATTCTGGCCAAGATCGTTGCCCTGAGATTTTAGGTTAGACCCTATACATTTACAGCCCTCCTGGTCAAAATACTTTCATCTGGGGAACCTCAAATACTACAAAAACCTTCATGTTATAAAAACGGAAACTAGGGGTAACACGCTTCTGGCTTTTCCGATCTGAAAAATCGTACTTTTACCATAAACCGGCTACCCACGTATAAGCAATGGTCATATTAAACAACATTAGAGCGATTCAAACCAACCTTACAAATTTCCTTTCCAGTTTTAACATTGAGAACGTGAACCGTCTTTTGGTTGCGTAGGCAATATACCGCAAGGTCCCCGGTAGCGTCCAAATGACCAAAAGTTTCCTCAACATTGATACCTTTTACAGGAATGTCATGAACAAGCTTCCCAGAGGCAGTCTCCCAGATTCGCACACCGGAGTCACCGAGAGCAACCACCATGTGATCATCATCTGCAAACGCAACGGAAGGGAACCCTCTGAACCAGTTTCCGTCATCCTTCATGGGCTTATACTCCTGTAAGATCTTGTTTGTTCTAGCATTAATGAGGTACATGTTTGCCGACGAACCCGATGCAACAAAGATGTCGTCGTTCTTAGGGCTGATCATCGCCCGCCAACACGAATTCACATCTGTTGACGATTCGTCGAAGCACACCTTTCTCTGCCTCCTTCCACTCTTTATATCTAGATACAATAGACAAAGTCCCTCTGAACCACGATTGCAGGTCACGACTGTCTTGGAATCACTCGTGAAATTTACGTACTCAATTCCACCGTGGAACTCATCATTTGACACTGAGTTTATCAGAGATCCTCCAGCCGGTGTGAGGCATTGTTGGCTGGGAATAAAAGCAGCAACAGACGGGTTATGGGCAGCTTCCAACATCTTTGCCAGAAATGGGAATTCTTTCTTCTTCATATGCTTGTATAGACGGCCAATCAGCTGCACGGACAGTTGACGAGGATCCTGCCTAAGTGATAGTACAGACAAGCTGAGGCACTTGTTCAGGAGGTCAAATTCTCTGTCATCTGGATGAAGAGCAAGAGCAGCATTAAAATCCTGTTGCAACGCCTCCACAGAACTTGCTTGGACCTTCGTCAGGAGGAACTCGAAGTTGCAGAGGGTTTCTTCCTTGAGCGTTTCCACTTGGTGTGACAGAAGGAGGTTATGAGGGAGCTCGCTCAACATGCGCCGATTGAAAATGGGCTTCTCTTCGTTTACGTCGAACTTCAGAGGTTGCTTGGGTACCAATCGATCCATAGACATTTCTTTACCACTCTTGTCCACAAAAGACTTCTTTGTCCCGCCTGACCATTTTCCGAGGAAGTAGTCGCTCATGTTTGCATGAATCCCGACTGCTTGCCCGCTTCCAAGATAACGTTCACGGGCAGCTTCGATGAACTGGCGATGATACCAGTTTATAACCCGGGCACCATCGGCTCCTCTTTCAATTAGGTAGCCTCCAATGTCGGACCGGATCCGTATCCACAACAGAGGTGGTAACCGTCGAATGGGTGGTGTCCAGTATTGATAGACGTCATTGAGTACCTTATCATCCAGTGATAAGATGTCCTCCAGCTCGGGTTCCGTCAACCCATTCCTGGAAGCAGTGATGTAGGCTAAAGCTTGGCTCACAAGAACTTTCCCATGAAGTCTCTCTACACGATCAAGAAGGTCATGGATGATCCCTTTTATTGTCGGTGCCAGCTTAGTATCGTTTGGAGACGTATAGGATTTCCAACGAGAGGCTTCGTCGAAAGACAATTTCAGATACAGAGGCAATGGACACTTTTCGAAGGCTTCCAAAACAATCTTCTCTTGTTCACTTTGTAACAGCCGTCTGGAGGATTTGAGCCAACTGTCCAGTATTTGTTTGGCAGTGTCAACAGGCATCTCAGGTACTTCCAGGAGGACGGTGGCTTCGTACTTTTCCTGGTAAATGAACAACATTTGACGGATTAGTTGAAGGGTTTATTGTGAACTGAAAAGGCTCTCCGGTCATCTTTTTAGGACACACAAAACATTCGGCGACAAACTGAAATCAAACTACCCAGTGGGCCAAAAAACTGATCGATAACAACAACATTACTTACCTCTAGTCTGGGGAAGCAATTGTATTCCTTTCCTGGGAGGGTTGACAAGATAATGTAGACATTCTCTGGTAGCTCCTTTGGAACCCATTCGAGCTCTCTGCCACCGTCATCATCCGACAGTTGATCCAGCGAATCAAGGACAAGCACCACAGGATGAGAAGATGATGCATGGTCTTCCAGACATTTAGGAAAAAACTCCAGGAGGGACCGAATATCCTATGAATAATAGACAGTAGGAGGCGAAAGATAAACAGATCAGTAACGTATACAGTGCAACATTACAGGGAAATTGATGCTGTAACAGCGTTTGTTTAGAAATAAACAAGACGCTTTCGACACTGTAATCCTACCAATATGCGGGACACGTCTCACTTTTTAACCTAATAAAATGACCAGCTAGCACCTTAGCTCGGTAGTTAGAGCAACCGACTGTTATCTGGGGGTCATGGGTTGGAATCCCGTAGGGGACTCAAACGTTTTCTTTGTCCCACGCTCGCGACATCCTGAAAAGCTAATTTTTCACATTCCAATCGGGTAAATAGGCTGCTTTTGTGTCATTCGCTAAAAGCCGGAAAATATATGCATTCTGAAGCCTTATATATGCACTGGTCAGTGGAATTAAGGAAACAAATTTCCGACCCATCACACCACTATGCTCCGGTCTTTGCTAGGCATTCACTCGCGAAAAACTCCATGTGTTTTTATAAGCATTTACCTTAAGAACAGTTTACCCATATAACTATGGAGCGAATAATCATCATTCACGATCTTTCCCGTGATAGGATGCTAAATATTCAGCGCCGTTAGCAAGGAATGATTCAGTCAAATCCTATTTTTCTCTTGGTCTGGTACATACTTAAAACTTTTCGTTGTAAGTACACAGGGAGCTTTATCGAATTGTTTGGACTCGACCAGTTGTACCATTTAACAGTGATTAAACAATCCACCAACTATGGGTCTTACTTTTCTGTACGGAAACGCTAAGAACAAATTCCTCGGCAGTGAATTTTACTTACCTGCGGCACTTTGTCACTCTCAGAATCCTCATCGGTCCTACAAATCTGTTGACAGATACTGCGCATTAAGTTTCTTACATCTGATGAATCTGGAGTTGTCCCGATAAATCGGGTCACAACTGTCGCGGAATCCTTTCCGAGCCATTTCTTTACTTCCATGGCAACTTTGGCCATCAAGGAAGTCTTTCCGCATCCTGATTCTCCATACAGGACGGCAATTTGATCTTTTTTCACTGTCTCCTTCACAGTCGTCAAAAACTCGTCACGACCGTGAAACAACTGGCACTTCCTTTTGCAGAAAGACCCATGCTGAAATATTTCCTCGGTCAGCTCATCTTCTCTGTTGATCGATTGGTCCTCCTCGATGCCTCGGTTGATCCTTTTTGTTAATGTGTCATAAAAATCAGTACAAAGCTTCTCGATGTACTGCGCATGCTCTTGTGACGCACTTGGGTCAATACCATTACCATGCCACTTGACATCATACTGAATTACATTGCTGTTGGTCAGCGCTTCAGGAAGGTCTTTCTCTCGAAGTTTGTTCAGCAGCTGCTGTGCGGATTCGTCTACCGATGAAGGATTTCCCCACGTTTTGTCGATAAATTTCCCAGTATTGGAGTCTGCTATGTTATCATTGATGTCTGTGATGACCCTTTTGAACCAGAAACAGTGTTTGTCTTGTTCGTTTGCCTTGATGATACCTCTACGGATTTCATCTTCTGTCACTAAATAAAAAAAAAAAAAAATTTTAGCACACTTGTAAAATTAAAAGTGGTGATCACAATCCATTCAAAAAAGCCAAGCTGAAATAAAGAGCTGCTTTAACAGCGTAATCTCCTTTTCTGTTTTCGACCATTACTAGGTTCAATGGCCTATTGTAATCTACTTAGCTGTACTGTTCTTTTGCCTCTACTGGTTAAAGGTCTATACAAATGAATATCATATTTTACAATAAGGCTTTGACCAAGGGAGGTGCCGCTAGATCGGATCCTATTATTTTTGGGCAATTTGCCAATTTAATATCCTGAAACTGGGTTAGGTGAACGTGTCACAGAAGAAATGGACTTTTATACTATTCAACAGTAATAAATGGGGCTGAAAGTCATTTCCTGTCTATGTAAACTAAAGAAAGCAAAAGTTACTTACTGAGAACATTCTGCTAATGATGCAAATAAAATGGGAACCAACTAGATCTCCGAGTGAGTTTTATTTTATCCGAGGACACTTCGAAGTAGTCATGATATTTTTCATCACGGCATGGAAAAAGTACTCTGTACAAACACTTACCTGACATGTAGTACTTATGCCGTTCACTTTGCTTGTCCAAAGCCTTGTTAGCGGCCATCCGCAAAACGACCTGCATTCTCTCAAACGCAGTCCACCAATCAGCAGAAGCCTTCTTACGTAACTCTTCGTTCGCGTAATCACGATAATGGGGTAGCAGTGATGTGATTGGTTGTAACAGATATTGGGCGGGAACTGAGTTATCGTCCCGCCAGAACCAATGTTTCAGTAGCTGGAGATCGTCTGTGTTGTCAACCGCTCCAAGGAGCTTCTCAAACTCAGAGGCATCGATCTTCACAGGAAAAGGACGGTAGCCATATTTTTGCCCCAGGAAAGTCTGAAAGTGTAATGAAGACTTGAGTAATCTCAAAACATAGTAAAGATGCTTCGATTATCAAGTTGAACTCACAATGAAGTTGGGTCCAGTTGACAACTTCTGACATGCGCGGAGCTCCCTCATGCATAGCTCAGTAGTCATGTGATCATCAGTGGACTCGTCTCGGACTCCCCATCTCATGTCGACCACTTGAAAATCATAGCCTCTCTCTTGACAGTAGGACTTGAGCCGGGGGTACACTCTCTCCATCAATGTGTTACGCTCCACAGAAGTATCTGCGAAATTTACCATACTCATGTCAGTTCCTTTCTCGTGTGAGCAACTGAACGAATTACACTAATGAACATCTGAATTCAGTTATGAACAAGACAGAGAGGGCGAATGATAAGAGAGTTAATTCCTCCCATAGATCGTGTTTCAAGGTATTTTTAGTCACGGTACCCAGTTCTCCCACGGACAATGTTTCCTCCGCGTGTCACGATTGGCTATTTCTAGACCACCTCGGATTTCCGAAGTGGGAATGATCCATTAATAACTCTAGAGGGATTACCTTAGAGGAATAAGACCTATATGGGGGATTTCCCTTTTATAATTTACCTGTAAATGTAGAACTGGTAAATATTCTAACAATCTTGGCTTTTTCTGGGTAATGAAAATCCATGTCACCGGTCAAAGCTTTCTTCACCTTCTCTTCGTAGCTCAAGTTATCTTCAGTCTCATCCAAGACAACCTCTTGAACAATTTCCTTTTCTTGTTCTTGTTCTTGTTCCTCTTCTTTTGGTGACTCGCTCTTTCTGCTGCTCGCTGAAGAACTTCTTTTGCTCTGGTTATCTTCCTTGCTGTCATGATCGCTTTCTTCCTTCTCAGAATCGCTTTTGTTGTCTTCTTCCACGTGGGAGCTCTTCTCTGATTCTGATTCATGGCCCTCGTCTCTGTCAGACGAATTGTCATCATTGTCTTCGTGATCTTCCCGGTCACTCTGCCGAGGATTCTCGTTCTCTTGAACTTGATTGTCTTGGTGAAGAGTCTGAAAATAAGAACAACCACCCAATGGTGAGTTTTCAACTGACTTTTAAAAGCATATATGCTTACATATACGCTTCTGCTTAAACTCATTAATGATTCATAAACTTTAAAGAAAGGAGATCACGACCGCGACGGTGTTTGAAAATCTGATCTTATTTAGCATATATTTTACGATTTTATTGCTCCCTTTTCTCCTTAGTTTTAGTTTCAATTCAGAAGACATATCAAGCACCCAAGACATTGTTTAACCACATTTCTAAACACAAGTACGTCAAAAATACTCCGCTGCGCGTCGTATTTTCAACTCTCCACTCAGTGTTTGGAAATGTGGATAAACACGGTCTTTCGTGCTCGATACGTGACAGCAGCCAGTGTTCCAAGCAATGAAATTCCTGTTCATTAGTATAGGTAATCGTACGGTTTTTCTCGTTCAATTTGGAATTAATTTGCACGAGTGAGCTTTGTGAAAAACTCACAAGTGCAAATTAATTCCAAACTGAACGAGAAAAACCATATGATTACCTATTGATATATAAACATGAAAAAATTCGCGCGGAGGAATTGCCGGAAGATCTTTCTTGAAGCCATTTTTTTTTCATTCGAGAAAACTTTTTTTCAAAGTTTCCGCACAAAAGTTTCGTTATCATTTTACGTACGTGATATCATTGGCTTAGCAAATTTCCTATTGTATTTCAGCCAATCATAATCCAGAATTACGATGTGTAATTTGTACTGGTGTTACAATTTTTGGCACTAGTGTTACACTTGAACTGCACTGCTCTCAGCCAATCAGAATCGAGTAATTTTTCATGTATAGTATTAGTCCTATGTAAAAACTATACCGATGCATGTTTGGGAACACCAGCATTTTTACTCTTTTGTATAGTATTTTTTAAGTTATTATCTTCTTAAGTCTTCGGTATCTTTAAGGTAGTCCGTTACATAACCCTTATTGACTTCCCTGAGCTTCTTGTCTTAAACATTAATATTTTGAAAATATTAAAAAAACAAACAAACAATATAGCCGCCTTTTAAAAATCTCTTTTAATGGGCATCTTCGAATTTCTTTATTTTGCCTTTGTATCAAAACTATATTGATGATGCAAAACCTTTCAAACAAATATGCGTTTACTAAACGTGAAAATAAGCATGAGTAGCACACATGTTCACACGAATGAGTTTGCTCTCGTTTGTATCAAGATGTACTTTGAATCAGACGAAAACACCATGTTGACCACTGCCAATGATCGTTTTTGTAAAATCTCTACAGGAAATAGTTTTTATTCCGGGCGTCGGGCATGCAGTTAATTTGTTCCTTATCTGCGATGGAGCCTTGTGCAGTGATCTAGGTAAGGCCTGGTTTTCACTAGACACTACAAGCTACAAGCTAAAGCACTACAAGCTACAAGCTGAAGCTTAAGCATAACAGTAGTGAGGACTCCCACAACACAAGCATAAGCGCAAGCACAGGCAGAATAAAACTTTTTGTTCTTCTTCTGTTTGTGCTGCGTGATGCTTGTGTCAAATGAGAAGGCGCCGCTGTAAGCATTAGCATAAGCATCGTCCTTCATTTTCATTTTTTTCATGATACCTAGGAGGTATGGAACCGGAAGTGAGGCAATCATCCATTTTAAGCATGCGTACGTTTATGCTTTTGCTGATGCTTATGCTTGCGTCGTAGGGAAAACCAGGCTTGAAGGACTGACTGAGGGTAGGAGAAATCTGGAGATGATGACAGTCAGTCATTTCACACGGCTAAAATGACCCATTACGGTATTACCTGGAGACTCTGTCGTTTTTGTTTTTTATTCCTGGAGAGGATCACACCCATTGCTACCACCAGCTAAACATCAATCAAGTAATCTGCAAAAAAAAAAACCGTCTTTGAGGGTGAGAATTTTATTTCATTAATCATGTAAGAGGTTTTGAAAGATTACCTTCAAGTAATTTATTAATATTAAGTCATATCTGAATCACAAGTACACGGAAATTTAACATTAATGTTTCATGTTTCCTGGGTACAGGAAACAAACTTTTTCAAACTTGTTAGCCCACTTCGATCCTTCCATTCGATCCTTGCACATTCCTCTTTCGATGTAACAGATAAATAAAATTAGACACTTTTACAAGAAACGTGGTCAAGAAACATGATCCGATGGAAAATTCAGGCCAACTACCAGTAAGTCAAGCAAGCGGGGGCCGCGTCCTCGCACTTTCTATTGCAAACGAAGGAAGTTATCCGTGGCTATCATTATGGCCGATAGACGAAAACGCATCTGATTTTTTTGCCATTACTTCACAGTTTAAGCAATGTGAATACACAGGGCACCTGCTGCAATGCGATCGATGAAACAATTAAATATCGAAAATCACCGGTTCATTCCCATTGTACTAAGGTCTTGGCAAAATCTGTTTCCTTCGATTCAAAGCCTTTCTACAGCGGATATCCAAAAGACGTTTTACTTAAAATGCACTACAAATATGTCATTTGCATCAATACCTCTGAAGCGGAAATCTTTAAATAAAAGCAGGTTATGATAATTATGTTTCTCATGGTTACTATTTAACACGAAAATAAACACAAAACTCACCGAATACATGAAACATTAGTAAATGGGTCTGACAAATTACGTCTAAGGTTTCTTTCTTTCGATTTTATCAGTGAGAAATCAAGAGTTGCTAGAAGGCTTAATGTAAAATACTTAAGAACTAAACTCTCAACTCCTTCCTTACGCGAATAGCGTTCGTGACAATCTCGAATATTCAGAACACACATTTACCCCAAGAGCGAGCTCTTTCGAAAATGAATACTAATTCAAAAAATATGCTTCACTGTGTAAAGATCGTTTTAGCTCAGTCTGTTTAGACGTTATAAGTGGATGTTTATAGATGTAAGAGGGTGTTTTACATAAAGAAGTAGCATCAAAATCCTCGCTTGATTCGTCATGAAGGTTGTGTTTGAGGCGGTAGCTCAGCTCATTCGAAGAACAAACTAATCAATGTCCATATGGTGTGGTGATAATCGCAAAAATGCTTTTATTTCAGGTGACATTGGCAAGGTTATAAACCTACCTTGTGTTTTGCCCTTGGTCCTTCGAACTGGAGCTCAAAGCATCTCTCGATTCTGTGTAGTTTCTCACGCGTTACAACTGCACCTGACAAATGATAAAACTGAAACTGCACTGTAATATTGAAATTCATAAAAAGAAACCACTTTAAAGTCATTTAAATAAAGACATTTGTCACGAAAGACTTAGATGATGGAAGCGTCACGGTTGTTAAGAAACAGACCTGTTAAAACCTTTGAAATCTCAAGAAAAATACGATACTTTTTTGTACGCCTTGTCATTATATTTCTGCCTTGGCGTGTTAGAAATTTAGCTGCCGCAGGAAAGCTTTGGGTTAAAAATAGCGATATTTTTACTGGTAGTTCAAAACAGACTGCAACAGATAAGTCAGTGGGCGGTTTCGGCTGAAGTCACTATAATGAACACGCGTTGTTTCACTTGACTATTTAAGGTGGGACTATTTTAGCTTTGTACAGGCGGTAGAATATTACAAAAAATAGCCGCATCAGTTTACAAATAACACCAAATCTCTGCGTTATATGTTAGGGATGTTTTGATCTACTCGCCATAACAATTGCGCTTCGGCGTGGATTCATTTCTAATAACAGGAACAAATAATTTTGTAACGCTTGATCGAGTTATTTCTTTAGAATTGTCGAGTACAACACCCACGTTTGTCATTGTGGATCTTTCGCCACAAAATGAAAGCTTTCAAGGAATGCGGAATGCTAAGACCAACGCCTCCAGTATTTGTTTTCCCGTCTCCCAGTTCTTTTTTATTCAGAACAGCAATTAAAAAGAACGAAATTGCTCTTTCCAGCTGTTAATAAATCAGCTTAAGTTTTCCGCAATTGAAAGAAAACTCAAATTTACATCAATCCTCCTCCTCCTCCTCCTCATCATCATCATCATCATCAACATCATCATCAACATCATCGTCATCGTCATCGTCATCGTCATCGTCATCGTCATCGTCATCGTCATGATTATCACTGCCGGCTATTTCAGGCCAAGACTGAAATAAGACCGGTGAGTACAACCCTCAATCGACTATTTGGTGAGGCCCTCCCTGCAAGGGGTTCCTTCTCCAGGTTGAAGGCTTCTAAAAGAATAGGGATTCACGAGTTCAAGTATATTAGGGGTAGGGGGAGACTTCATTCTGATATTTGAAAAGTCCGTTCAAAATGAACAAAAGCACCTGTCCGATTATTTTAAGAAGTTGCCCAATTCAAGAGTATAGAAAATGTGTGTAAGCATCCACCTAGGTATGCGAAAGGCTACCATTTCCTATGGGAAGTATATCAAAGGAGGGCATTTTCTGTTAAAAATGACACATATAAGGGGACGGTTTTGCATCTCTGGTTGAAACTCCCTCTGAGTATGGAACTTTGTTACGTACGTCTCTTGAGAAGTACGCGAATACAACCATACCAGATAGCGTGTCTGTTACTAGAGCCAATAAAATACCCTAATATAATATCTCTAATATGCTGTCCTCACTCCTTCTTCTGAGAACAGCAAATGCCAAATTTCTACGCTAAAATTATTTTTGGTAGCCATATGGAATACGCCTGTATCTCAGTGGAGTCAATGTGCTTCGAACGAGTTGTTACAGTCAAACTAAGTGAAGCGTACCCCTCAAGATTACATTAATGAATTGATTATTTGATTATTGAACCCACTAGTCGTTCCAAGAATACGGCTAATGGGTTTAATGTTCAAAAAAAAATCAATTTAATATTGATTTTGGAAATGACTAGCGAGTTCAATATTCAAATAATCAATTCATTATTGCATTCTTGAAACGATTAGCGGGTTCAATATTCAAATAATCAATTCATTTAATGTGTAAACTTGAAGGGTACGCTTGACTTGGTTTGACTCTAATAGCACACTCATACGAACGTCTGAAGTAATGATAGATTTATACCACGTTCACACCAAAAAGTTAAACAAATTTAAAAGTGTTTTAAAAGGTTAAAACTCAGTTGTTCATACCATGCGCACCCCACGACTAAACAAAGTAGTAACTTGTTTGATTAAACCTTCTTGGTAAGGTTGTTTGAAATTTGTTCTCCCAAGAAGGCTTGAAAGCGCAATCGACAAATTGGAAAACCTTAAGCTAGTTTAGATGGCGTGGTAGAAAAAGTCAAAATGACTTTTCTCACTCGCCAGGGACAGGTTAACCAAGGGCAAAAAGGCACTTTTTGCACGGTGCATATGGTCTTGCGTAGGAATGTTACAAAAATCTCAATGTACATGTTTCCCTGAACCAAACTGAGATTGGGTTTTACCCAAAACAAAACAATGTCTAGTTGCAATCAAAAGACCCACGACTTCTCAGAAATGACTCAAAGCAAAAAGGCGCGGAGTCCCTGTGTTCGATTTTCCACTCTTCTAGCTGTAAGTTTCCAGGCGCCCGGAGATTCGACTTTCGTACAGACACACCTATGAAAACTGATTTGAAAACAATTCAGCCCATCCAGTTGCAGGTCAGTTTAAACTTCACCACCACTGAGGTTTCTAACAAATATGTTATGGTCACAGACTGCAAATATTTCAGAAAACATGTTTGCGGAAATTATCTCAATTCTTGAAAAGTCTAAGAACAATCTCAAAGAGATAGATCAAACTGTATGTTTATTTTTGGTGCGTTTTTTGCCATTCTGTCACGTGCAGACCAGTAGAAAACTGGTAATAGCCACTGAAGGCAAAGAAAAGTTCATACAGATTTAAAGATCATATTTTCTTTAAAATGTACAAATTAGTAAAGGTAAAAGCAAGGCAAACAGCTTATAAGTATGGGCGCCCAAAACTAGTTTCTTCTCACCATCGCCGTTTGCCTTATACGTGTTTTGAACTGATTGAGCAATACGAGTAATAGTAAAAACCAAAAAAACTATCTACTGTCGGAAAACGACATAACAAATGCTTACTAGAAAAACACTAAGTAAACATTGGTCCAGTTTGTTTAGTTAGTTAGTTCTTATCACTGGTAATAGGCAATTTTTAAATTTAACTGTAAAAGTAGTGTCAAAGCTTTAGTCTCTAATAGTAAGACAGTGTCACGATTCTAGCTTTCACGAACTAACAGTATTTCAAAGCTGCTTAGTTACTAACTAGATTCGGATCCTTAGCAGATTCATGATCAATGCCTCGTTAATATTGTAGCGTTCTATGCTTTTGCGTTATTTCCACTGAAATGTACATTGCGCATGTCTAAGCTATATGACTATCATCATCATCTTTGTCAGTATCCATGTTATCATCAACCAGTTTCTCTGGGGAGTCCTCTACAACTGCTTCGATGGCCAAACCATCGTATGGAGACTTTAAATCTTCTTCAAGAACCTTGTGTTTCTTTCCAGGACGGTGTAAATGCAAAATCATCAGGTTTGGGTTTTCTCCCAACCCCAGAGCGAGCTTGTCTCCAATAGCTTTCACGTGATTTGGGTAACCATCTGTCATGAAAGAGGCCAATTTCTTCCCTGTCTTTGTCTCCCACGCGTCAAAGCTTTTCTGGTCCTCGGATCTGGAAATGATCACCTCTCCATCTTGCGAGAGATAAAGCTCAGATACGGGTGGAGAAGAGATGGTAAGCAGAACCTGTCGACTTTCGATGCTCCAGATTTTGATGCTCTCGTCGCCTGTTCCAGTTATAGCTATCATTGAAGCTCCAGAGACTGCAACCGTGCTGGCTATTTCGTACGCGTCTGGGTCGAATAGCTTCCGTATGAGCTGGCCAGTATGTAGATCCCAAAGAAGAGGCTGCGAATATTGAACTAAATTCACAAGATATTTGCCATCGTCGGATATTCGTGCATTGAACAGGGTCAACTGCTCGCCTTCGTACTTCAAAATCTTATGGCTGAAGCTGGTTGTGTCGATGGCAACCAAATGCAGTTCTTTGTCCTTGTGCTGGGTCATTTGGCTTGCCTGTGAACACAAGGCCATTTTACCGTTACTGCTAATTAGCATCTCTTCAAATCGGCGCTTTTCTTTGAACTTCACCACGTTCACTACTTTTCCGCTGTCAACATCCCACACTTTGACAAATCGTCTCCCTCTTGAAAATGAAATCATGTGCTTCTGATCGATGAATCCGAAAGCATTCATCCGTTTGCATGCCTTTCCTTCCAAATTCCTCTCGATCCTTCCCTCAGCAAAGTTGAAGACTTTGTAGTGTGGAAAGTTCTGGTCGAAGATGAAGCCGACACCACGGGTGGAGGTGCACATGCGAATGGGATTGGGGAACATCATCATGTTCATCAGTCGACGCACTCGTTTACCACTCAGTGCATCCCATACATGGATCTCGTTTCTAAGCTGAATAACAGCTATGGAGAGAACGTGGCGCTGATCAAAACTAGGCGAGATAGCTGTTATTTGATCTGCTATCGAGTTGCCCTGAATCTCGGTTACCACGATGTCCTTCTGATTTTCATCTTCATCTTCTCGACGTTTGTCGTAGACTCGAAGGATGTTGTCTTGCCCGATTGCCAAGATGTTGACACCATCGCGTGTATAGAGACGTAATCGAAAAATTGGACTCCTAAGGCACCTCTCGATTTGTCTGGTCTCCAGATTCAAAATGCAGATTTCAAACATATCGGCAGTCACAACCTTCGTGCCGTCATCAGTAATCTGCATTCGATGAAGACCTTGCTGCATCTTGAAATTGGTCAGTTCACGAATTAGACTACCAGAAAGATCGTACAATCGCAGATTATCAAATGAAGATGGGATCACAGCCACTTGGTCTAAGGAGGTTATTTTGATTTCCTTGATAAAGACTTTTTGACCATCCTTGCTTTTGGGATAGGAAATGGTAATCTTCCTAACTTCTTTCCCAATTCTCACATCGATAAAGTGCACCGTGCTTTTCCCTCTCAGATTGTAAACAGCGTGGCTTCCACGTGCATCCAGCGTACCAAGTTCGTCTTCGGTGTTTACATCTTTCAGTTGTAATTTGTGAAGCAGTTTACCATTCTCTACTTGCCAGACCTTCAATGCGTCAGGACAGATAGCAACCAGTTTGCTTTCATCGTCAGCAAACGACACTGGGGCTTGGGGGTTATATGAAAACCATTCATCATCGGATACTTGGAACTCTTGAATTATTTGCCCAGTCAGTGTGTTGAGCAGGAAAATCTTGGGCGATCCAGCGAGCAACAGCAAATCAGTACTCTTCTGACTTATCTGGTTGAAATTTACACAGTACATATCGACCGGTTCTGTGATGGTAAACTTTCGCACTTCTCTTCCAGTGACATAATCAATGATTCTGATGACCAATCCTTCCGAGGTCTGACTTGATACTGCAATAGTGCGATTGTCTTTAGCAATGCTTACCACGTCACTACCTAACTGGGTCAAGCCAATTGCAGAACGTAAAGCTCCACCAGGTGCTGTCAGACATTTTCTGTTTGGAAGAAAACAAGGGGTGGAGGAATTTAATGCCTGCCTCAAAACGTTGTGAACGTCCGGATACTGTTCTTGTCGCTGCAGAAAGTTGTACATTCGGCCAATCAGCTGAGTGGGAAGTTGCCTGCTGTCCTTGGAAAGCGAATGAGCGGAGAGTTGCAAACATTCGTTGAGGAGTTCCACATCGCCATCGTTTGGTTTTACCTCGAGATAAGATGAAAAGTCACCCATAAGCAATTGTAAAGATGTTCCTTGGAGTTTCGCCGAAAGAAACTCGAAGTTGCAAAGACATTCTTCTCTCATCATATCAAATTTTCCGGAATGTAACAAGTGAAATGGCAGTTCGCTCAACTTGCGAAGGTTGTAAATCACTTTGTCTTTACGCGAGTCGAACATCAACGGTTGCTTTGGTACCAACCTGTCCATGGACATCTCCTTTCCTTCTTTATTAACAAATGGCTTCTTCACTCCCCCAGACCACTTGCCAAGAAAGTACTCACTCATGTTCGTGTGAATCTTCATGGACTGCTCTTCGCTCAGGTATCGCTCCCGTGCGGCCTCGATGAACTGACGATGATACCAGAATACCACTTGGGTGCCATCTGCCCCTCGCTCGATCAAGTAGTCTCCGATATCAGACCGAATGCGAATCCACAGCAAGGGTGGAAGTCTTCTGACTGGCGGTGTCCAGTACTGGTAGACGTCATTCAGGACGTCGTCGTCTAATGAAAGGAGATCTTCTAACTCGGGCTCTGTCAAACCATTCTTAGATGCAGTAACGTACGCCAATGCGTGGCTCACCAGTACTTTTCCGTGTCGTCGTTCCAGTCGGCCAAACATGTCATCGATGATCTCTCGCACAGTTGGCTCAAGATACATGTCGGAGGCAGGGGTGAACGATTTCCAGCGCAGAGCTTCATCAAAGGCTAGCTTGAGGTAAAGGGGAAGCGGGCACTTTTGAAATGCTTCCATGATGTAGCTTTTCTGTCTTGGAAGGATGGTCCGATTAGCTGTCTTTAACCAGTTGTCAAGGATGACATCTGCCTCATTGAGGGGAATCCTTGGTACTTCCATGAAACATTCATCTGGCAAGATAGTCTAAAATGAAGAAAAAATGCGAGGAAACTTTCAGTTTAGTACTAGACCTGACTTGACAGAGGTATCTTTTCATATATCACCCTATAGAATGGCGAGAATGGAGTAACCTGCAGAAGATTTGGGTCTCCAACGTAAGTTGGTTTGCATGGTAAGTTACAGTACGATTGAGATTATTGTCGTTAATTCCATATCAAATTAATTAAAACTAGCCATAAAGCTAAAGGAACATAACGCAGTGTCCTTATGAGGGCTCGAAGTAAAAGCACACGATCGGCGCTAAGGGTCTATGTCAAGACACGACATTTCATGTTAGGATACTTGTACGAGTTTTGCACATCATGCCATAGTGTATCTTAAAGATTGCTGCTTTAAACTTACTCTCAAACTAGGCAACGCCTGATATTCCTCGCCAGGTAGCGTTGAAAGGATGGCGTACACGTCGCTTGGCAATTGTCTTGGATACCAGTCCATCTGCCGACCGCCGTCATCGAGAGAAAGCTGGTCCAACGAATCCAAAACCAAAACAACTGGTTGATTTTCAGCCGATTTTTCCAGGCATTCTTGAAAGTAGTCTTTTAAGGATTTCATGTCCTGGATACAATATGACATAACGCACAATAGAAAAAAGGAGTTCAGTATCTAATTAACCGTGTAAGTTAGTCTCTTTTCAGTTAGTCTCGTTTCTCTCTTTAGATAATAAAGCAAAAAGACGAAATTTATATAGTCACCTATCTGACAAAAACGAGATTGGAACAGAAAATATTAGAACAGAAAGAATTCCGGGAGGTGTCGGTTCAATCTGGCCAAGGTGAAAGAACTTTTGGTCTCGTCTGGTTTCATTTATTTACAAGGAGTAATTCACAACAACTCGAGTCGGAATTTAAAAGGGATGTGTTTTTGGCACTCACTGTCCACCTCCATAACAAACGATAGTAGCCCCATAAACTATCCAATCGCAGCGAGCGAAAAATGCTGTTTACCAGTTGGTGGCAGTGGTATGATACTTAGAACCGACTGGACATGCAACTAATTAAAATCTAAAACTGTAAATTACCTCCGGAACGTCTGCAGTGTTCTGTCCAGTAGCTTTGCACAGCTGAAGACATATGCTACTTAGGAGAGGTCTGATGCCAGATGAATCCGGTGACGTGCCAATGAATCGCACTACGACAATGGCAGATTCGTCTTCGACCCACTTTTTCACTTCGCTTGTGATTTTGGCCATGATTGAGGTCTTTCCACAGCCCGATTCTCCATGGAGCACAACACCGTGCTTGTCATGATTTAGCAAAATATTCTTTGAGGCTTCCAGGAACTCTTTACGACCGTAAAATGATTTACTCTTCTTCTGGCAAAATGAGGCATGCTGGAAAAGTTCCTCTGCAAATGCATCTCTTGAATCAGATGTCTCCTTCTCCTGAATGCCGTTTTCAATCATTTGAGTCAAGGTGCCGAAAAAGTCTTTGCACAGCTGCTCTATGTAGTCTGCGTGCTCTGGCGACGCCGAGGGATCGATTCCATTGTCAGTCCATTTAATGTCATAATTTACGATGTTTGCGCTCGGCAAGGTTTGCGGGATGTCTTCTTCTCGGAGAACGTTGAGCAGTTTCTGCGCAGTATCATCAACAGATGAATTAGCTCCCCATGTCTTGTCTATGAATTTCCCAGCGTTTTTTCTGTCGACGTTTGCATAAAGATCTGAAATGACTCGTTTGAACCAGAAGCAATGTTTGGAAGGATTAGCTGCGTTGATGATGCCACGCCGGATTTCGTCCTCGGTTACTACGGACGAAAAAAAAATATGGTTGGAATTTTCGTACTGTATAGCCATCATTTCAAATTAATGGGCATGCATACCTGTTAACGTAAATTGCTTTAAATTCCTTACTTGAGTCTATTCTTTAAATCTAGTTGAAATTTTTCTTAACAGCCGGATATGCTGTTCGCTTGAGGGTAATTCATATTTTTTTAGGCAGTAGACCGCTTTCACACGCCCAATTAAAGGATCTTGCTTTATAAGGGCCTTGCAAACAATCCCAGTTATTTTGCTGGGTAACTCATAAAGAGATATCAATTTGACGTTTAATGTTTTAGAAAATGGCAAGAGGCATAGAGAACAATTTGATACGGCGTTGAAGTACAGTTTTTTGCGTCATACCTGACATGTAGTACTTATGTCGTTCTTTCTTGTCCAGAGCCTTAGCAGCGGCCAACCTCAAAACCATTTGCATTCTTTCAAACGCCGTCCACCAATCAGAAGAAGCCTTCTTACGTAACTCGTCGTTCGCATAGTCCCGGTAATGAGGCAGCAGTGATGTGATTGGCTGCAACATATATTCGGCGGGAACTGAGTTATCATCTCTCCAGAACCAGTGTTTCAGCAGTTGGAGATCGTCATTGCTTTCAACTGCTCCAAGGAGCTTTTCAAACTCTGAGGCGACAATCTTTGCGGGAAAGGGTCTGTAACCATACTTTTGTCCTAGAAAGGTCTGGAATGAATGGAAAACTACGTCAATTAAGGCAACAAGCTTATTTGACTTTCCATATTTATTCAGAGGTATACCGGGAATACTTATGTAGATAAACAGGGAAAAAAAGAGAACATCGCTTCGGACGACTTTGCAACTTTGAATCACAGGTGCACAAACAGAGCCAATTATTTCACTTTTTCACCATCCTTTTAGTCAAAGCGGCAACAATATCATCGGGGAAATTAAAGACACCCTATTAATATCATGTTAAATATCTAGTAGAAATTTTTGTGCAATTATTGATAGTAGACCAACTTTATTAAACTCACAATGAAGTTAGGTCCAGTTGAGAGCCTTTGACATGCACGCAACTCCCTCATGCACAGCTCAGTGGTCATGTGATCATCCGTGGACTCGTCCCGGACTCCCCATCTCATGTCGACCACTTGAAAGTCATAGCCCCTCTCTTGACAGTAGGACTTGAGTCGGGGGTACACTCGCTCCATCAATGTGTTACGCTCCACGGATGTGTCTGAGGGAAAAGGAAGAATAAAAAGTGAAAGATTACCTGGAAGTACCTGCAGTGTAGGTCATAGGTGTCGGGACACCCAGATACTAGTGGAACTGACTCCTTTCCCCCTTCTACGCTGAATTTGGACGTACCTATACGTGTTAAGCGAGCAGACTATGTGTGTATGTTAATTTGAGAGGTTCAACATCAGTTCCTGAGAAAAGAACTAATATAAAAACAATCACATTATTGTTTCGGCAAGAGTACTGTAGTGTCTATCTCGATCTTCCTGAGACTACTGTTTTGACAAATCTCTGTGCTACATCTGACCTACACTGTAGATGGCAGCGTTGGAGCTGTTAGTTACAGTAAAATACTTACCAGTGAAAGTGGAACTTGTGAAGATTCGAACAACTTTCACGTTCTCTGGGAATTCACCGTCCAGATCACCAATCAGGGCATTTTTGAGCTTCTGACTGTAACTGGGAACGTTTCCAGTATCTATGTTATTATCATTTTCACCATTTTTCTCCTCATCGGAATCATCTACGACATCATCTTCTTCATTTTCAGGGTCATTTTCCTCCTCTTGTTGTTCATCTTCTTGATCCTGGTCGTCGTTTTCCTCTCCTTCGTCGGATTTGTCTTCATTGTCACTGTCGTCTTTGTTTTCATCCTCATGTTCTGATATTTCTTCCTCGTGATCGTCACACTCTCTCGTCTCTAAAGCCTCTTCTTCCTCGTTTTGTCTCTGAGAGGATGCTTCAGTTTCTGCACGTACCTGGCTCACCTGCACAATGAGTCAATCAATTAATCAATCAATCATCAGTTCGTCAGTCTGTAGAACAGTCAGTCAGTCAGTCAGTCTGTCAATCAATTATTCATTCATTCAATCAATCAGTAAGTCAATCAATCAATCAGTCAGTCAATGAGTTAAGAATTCAGTCAGTCAGTCAATCAGTCAATCATTCATTCAGTCAGTCAGTTAGTAAGTCCGTCAGTTAGTTCGTCAGTCAGTTAGTCAGTCAGTCAATCACTCCATCAGTCAATCAGTCAATCAGTCGATCAATCAATCAATCTATCAATAAATCAATCAACCAATGAATCAATCAGTCAGTCAGTCACTAAATCAATCAATCAATCAATCAATCAGTTAGTCAATCAATTAGTCAGTCAGTCAATCAGTCAGTCAGTCATTCAATCAGTCAGTCAGTTAGTCAGTCCGTCAGTCATTCAGTTAGCCAGTCATTTATTCAGTTAGTCAGTCAGTCAGTTATTCAGTCAGTCGGTCGGTCAGTCATTCGGTCATTTAGTAAGTCAGTCAGTCAGTCATTCAATCAGTCAGTCCGTCCGTTAGTCAGTTAGTCAGTCAGTTAGTCAGTCAGTCAGTCAGTCAGTCATTCAGTCAATCAATCATCAATCAGGCAGTCAGTCAATCACTGAATTAATCAATCAATCTATCAGTCGATCGCTTGATAGATTAATCTATCAATCAATTAATCTATCAATCAGTAATCAGTTAGTCATTCAATTAGTGAATCAATCAGTCAATCACTAAATAAATAACTAAAACAATCAATCAGTCTATCACTGAATCACTCGCTCACTCACTCACTATTACTATTACTCACTCTTTCACTCAATTAATCAATCAATCAATCAATCAGTCAATCAGTCAATCAATCAATCAATCAATCGATCAGTCACTTATTTAATGTTAAACATTTAAACAATGTAATTCCACAAGAAAGGTTACAAAATATAATCTCTATTTATTAGATAACAAAAGACATTTCATACTTCGGTAATAATTCTGTCAGTTTTCAGCCAGGATTATATTTATCAAAAAACACTTAGTTTCATTTTCAATCGTTTTCAAGTTTCATCCTTCTGTCTCCACTAACGCAGGGAGTGTGGAGTGACACTAAAAAAACGGCTACGAAGAGCGTTACAGGTAGCCTTTGTTAAGACAAGTAAGATATTATCAGATTAAATACCTCATTTTGTTCCACCTTAGGCGTCCACCTCTTTTTCCGGGAAATAGCGATCCCCATTGTATTCTCGGATCTCAGCTCTAGCTATAAAATAAGCAATAGTAGTGAAAGTTCTGACGTTAATTGGCAATGGCCAACCAGGTACCTCGATCTAATTATGCTATTTTTGGCTTTTAGTATTTTCCGATGAGTATGAAAGAAATCGTATGAATGTCCACAACGAAGTTCTACAGTTGATATGCGTGATTAATTTTGCATTAAATAAAGTGGAATCCCGATATTTTTCAAACCTCCAAGGTGAAATGAAAATTGGTTTGAAAAATCAGGTAGTTTGACAAGTCGGGGGATGAAACTACGGGGTTCAACTGAGGGGAGAAAAACGACTTTTGGCTCGAATTGGAACCATCGGGAGGTTCGAAAAATCGAGATTCCACTGTACACTTACCTTATAATGTGTGATTTATCTAACTACAATAAAGTATGATATTTCATGCACTGATAGTGGCATTATAACTGTTACAAATGTACTGACCTGCTGTGAATGGGTCTTCCCATTCAGCGGCTTAGTCGACCCAGTATTCGTAAGAGCTGCTTTCTGGCCGTCGTTTACGACTGCGGTAGTTGACTGTGATAAAAACTAGGACGAGTCACTCTGTTACTTTCGATCGAACGTGGATCACTAGAGCCCAGCTTTTCCTGACTTCGCTACTCTGACATTGCCTCTTCGACGTCTATAACGGTTTAAAGATCTTTACTGCGCCTTTCAATAACTTGCGGACTCTAAAATTCAAAGCTCAACTGACAAATGCGTTTTTTGCTACCATCAATCAAATGTTCGGCGGCTCCTCCCAGCTACCGACTACTGCCGAGCACTGTTTCGGTGTCTGAACTGTGCTCAGCAACTAGATTACCGCGCGCTCGGCAGTAGTCGGAAGCTGGAAGGAGCCGCCGAACACTTGATTGACGGTAGGGAAAAACGCATTTGTCGGTTGAGCTTTGAGTTTTAGAGTCCGCATGTTATTGAAAGGCGCAATAAACATGTGACTTAACTATAACACAGTTCGTTAAGTCAAAAGACCAGTTACGCTAATTGATGTCGTTTTGATGAAGATGCTAGTTGTTATTTACTTTGGGTTCTCCTGACCAAGAAACCGTGACCTAGGAAACGAATTTAAACATCAAATAGAAACAAATGCCGAAAAACCTCTCTGGAGTGCAATTGTTAGCAAGTAAAATTATCTGTGGCTACTGTTTTTGTTGTTTCAGGCAGTAAACCTGCTATTAAGAGCGCGAAATTTTGCGCGAAAAAACCTTGCAGAAAATGTAATGACAAAATTACAACAATGAAGGTAACTGATGTTTTCTGATTTTTTTTTATCTATGAGCAAACAAACGTCAAGCGGGTGACGTGCTGCGAAACCAAAAGAACTCATCTGCATTTTAGGCCGAGAAACTCTTACTCTTGCCCACATTTGATGAAGATGTGTAGGTTAGTTCCACCAAGTTTTTTAACATCTAAATGTGTGATGATTTTGTAGCGACGATCTAAAAGCTGGGATCTTAGCGAAAGCAACAACATATCGCGACAAATTCAGTCAATCGACCAAGCATGCAATTTTGTCAGGAATCGTGACTTATAAAATCAATTCAAGCGAAGTCGTCGAGATAAAATTAATTCCGTGCTAGACCATATTTCTTTTTTTTTTTCAAGCACCCGTGTGTGGAGTCTTTATATGAGCTTTTCGGAAGCAACGTTTTAAGTAAATGCAATGAGTGAAAGCCGGCTCAGCGCTTTTAAGCAGACGGGCTCGTGTGATTCAAGCAACTCTTTAACACTTACCTGTTAGAAACAGTGGTTTCGCGTGCTTGGGAAGGAAGTTTTTATGCGTGATGTTGTGTATAATAAGCGGCCGAGCCAGAGCTTTTCGGATTATGGAAAAAATAAACGCCGCAACCAAGTAATTCAGAGCAGCTCAAGACTTTTGGTGAAAGCAATTTAATATTAATCTTTCTAGAATATGCCTAAATAAATAACGTTAGCCTGTGTTTGACGTTTGATTACCATGGTAACAAAGCATCTTGGACAAGGTTTCCAGAATGCGCAAAATAATTGATATGACGAACACAAGACTATACTACCCGTTTCAATAAGCTGACATTGCTTAACTTTTTTATCACTTCTTTTATTCCTTGATTATTATGTTTCCTCATTTGAATTCTACGTGTAACATAAAAGTTATGTTATGTGTACGCTTGACCAATCAAGTGGCATAATACAACTGGCTAATAGATCAGAAGTAATGTCAGAGAAGACAATATCTGCTTTTCTGCTTCTCAGTGCCATTGTTCAAAGCGAAACTTGCAGGTTATGTGATTATTCGTACACTGCAAATTACTTTCATTGTCCACCTACCTGTGACGTTGTTATCAGGCAATATGCTAATTTGAAACAAAGATGCTTTAAATGTTAGTCGACTTAGTTGGTTAGAGACGAAAAGGAGAAAGTCTCTGGGTTTGTTCATAAAGGTGTAAAACTAACAGCTATAGCAGTTAAACTTTCAGGTCCATCGCGGAAAAGTAGTTAAAATCTAATTTCTCTTCAACATATCAACTCCACTTTCAAAATTTAATGAGGAGAATTCGGCAGGTCATCGCGTCACAGACTGACGTCGACGTGACGTACAGACCACAGGCAGCAAATTGTCTTAATGGGCAAGCAGAATTCTGTAATCAGTGCCATCCCATGTATATACGAGGATACTGCAAGGAGATTTCACGCGATAGTCTCATCAAGAGCTATGTTTTTAAAAAACCTTAACATATTTTAAAGTTACTTTGCAGTTGATAGTATGTCGTGGTAATTATAACAACGCTCAGCTGTTACGTTTACTACACCAGAGCCCCTCTATCTGTGAGAAGTAACTGGTTACTAACTCCTTTGCGAAACGGAGTCAGTGCTCGACTCATTAACTGTATGCAGTGTCGGTGTAATGGACGAACTTGTTACCGTATAACTTATTACAGCTGCTGAAATGGATTGTAGAAGTTTGTCAATGCAACCAACTGACCCACGGAGATTTTTGTTACCCCTTGCAAAGAATATTTATCACACTTTTTGATGGTACAGTAAAATTCATTTAAAAGCACGCGATTTGATCCTATTGTATTTTATTTTGTATCAGCATGAAAACCTAATTTTCCTCCCTAAATCTGAACCTTGGGTATATTCTTAACGTGATGTTAAAATTACACCAATCGCCGTTTCAATATTCTCAGTGTTAAAACGGATTTGGACGGATGGGCTAAGACTTGTACTAAAGATAGTATATTTCAGGAGTTGATGTGATCACATTTATCTCCGACATGCAATTTCACTTCACACCTACTATAGAAATAAATGGACTGAGTCACTGACTTCCCCCTGGATGTAAACATGCGACAATGAAACTTCATTTCTGTTTCACATAATACTCTTCATTGAAACAAATATCACAATTTTAGCTGCAAATAAAAGTCCCAAGTTTGTATACATACCAACAATGCAACAAACGGAGAACGGATGTTTTCTTTCCCTTGAAACGATTAAGTGAACTCTGCCGGCTGCAACTATAATAATTACAGATTGCATGACTCCAATCGTCCGAAAAATCCTGAGAACATGAATACGTAATTTACTAATCCGTTAATGGAACTTTTATTACAATACAATTATCTTTTTGTATTGCAAGAGCTGCTCTACGTAAAACTAATGAATGATATACATTTTTTAATCGTTGTATTGTTCGCACCAACGTAAAGTGAATAAAACGGGCCTATATGCTTAAGACATAATAAAAGCCTTGATGTTACATTCAGAAAAAAATACACGGATTTGTTGCTTACTTTGAATAGCCGTTTAAGGTATTTTTACTCTAAAAAAGCCCAAGCGAAAATATCTTGCGATTTTGCATATTGATTCGGCTAAGAGTTCTTACATAAAATTGTCTCGATAAACCTGTTCAGAAATAAACACGTTTTTGGACGCAAAAACTGTGCTCCCTCCGCCGATGATAACGTTAGGCCTGGCATGAACCGCTTTCCTAGTGAACTCCGTTCTTTGAACGTCGGTTACCTCTGAATCGTCATCAACATCCTCATCTTCGTCTTTTCCTCTGGCGCTAGCAAGGTCTTGTGCTGGTTGTAGATTACTTTCCAGTGGACAATTCTCAAAAGGAGAATGGTCAGGTGCGATAGGATCTACACGTCCAGGGATATGTGGTCGTAACGTCATGAACTCTGGCTTGTCAGCTTTGGCGACCACGAGGCGGTTCCCGGATATCGTCATGCGTTCAGGCTTCCAGTCAGAAGTGAAGGAGGCAAGCGTCACACCTGTGGACAAGTCCCAAGCGTCGATGCTGCTATTTCTGTAACGATAGTTGGAGAATGCTAATTGGCCATCTTGTGTCATGAATAGGGAATCAACTGTTTCGCACTTGAACGCATAACGGAGATCTCCACTGACAATATCCCAGACGCTGATTCCCCCGTCTCCTTGACCAGTGAGGACCATGCTGCTGGCTGAAGATATCGCGGTCGAGGTTACAGTAGGGTTCTCTTCATCAGCGACGAGTCTGTGCTTTAGACTTCCATTTGCCAAGTCCCACAGCAATGCTTTGAACTCTTTGGTTAGGCAAACGAGGTAACTCCCGTCATCCGTTATGGAACCATTCCAAAGCAGCAACTGAGTAGTTTCAATCTCTAAGAACTTCTGATCTCCTGTTTGCGTGTTTAGAAAGATCAGCGGCAGGGTTTCTTCATCGTGATTTACAATCTGGCTCACCTGGCTACACACAACTGATCTCCCATTTCTGCTGATGAGCATGTCTTCAAAACGATGTTTTTGTCCGAACCTGTACTGCTTGACTAAATTTCCATCGCCGAGGCTCCAAACTTTGAGGTTGCGTCGTCCGCGGGAGAAGGCAATAATGCGGTCCTCGTCAATGAAACCAAATGCTTCGGTTCTTTTAGAGGCTTTCCCTTGCAGATGTCTTTCGACTTTGCCCGCTTTTAAGTCAAAAACTTTGAAGTGGAAAAATTCTTGATCGTGGATAAAACCAACAGCACGAGATGTTCCATACATTTTTATTGCGGTGGGCGGCAATTCTTGGGTCATTTTTAGGACTCGCACCATTGTTCCAGTCAAAGTGTCCCAAACGAGGATTTGATTAGAATTATTGACCATTGCCGTCGCAATGACATGCCTGTGGATGTGGTCTGTTTCCCGACTCAGATAGTTGATTGAGTCAACTGAAGACACGGCCTTGTTACTCGATGAAGCGTCTGAAACCTGTTCAGTGTTCTCTTTGACAGCTTGCTCAAGGTCGTAAAGACGAATTATGTTATCGTGAGCCACAGAAATCGCAAACTTTCCATCTCTCGTGTAAAAATTGACATGAATTATCAACGTTCCAAATGATTTGCTCTTCAAGGTTTTGTGAACGGTTCCATCTTCGAGGTTAGTCACGAGAATCTCGTAGTCAGCAACACCCACAGCTTTCGTTCCGTCTGTTGTTACTTGAAGTCGAAGGAGGCCCTTGTTGATTTTAAACTGCGGAACTTCCCTGATAACATCCCCAGTGTGCAGATCATACAAGCGAAGATTGTTTCTCGCTGAGGAAGTGACGACCACCTGCTCTTTACAGGTCACTTTGATTTCTCCAATGCAGCATGCATCCTCTTCACTGAACACATTGACTTGCCTAACCTTCTCTCCTGTTCTAGTGTTGAGGACCGTGAAATTCTTTGTCCCATGGACGCTGAAGGCTGCTAGATGCCCTGATGCTCCGATAGTTCCGTACTCCTCATCTGCGGGTATCTTGCCTATGTCAATCTTGTGTTGCAACTGACCATCTTCAGCTTTCCAAATCTTGAGGTCTTCATCTGTAATGGCAACGATACACGTTTCATTGTCCGCAAAGGACACAGGTGGCATTGGATTGTATTGGCTTTCTTGGACAAGGGCTGCGAATCTCTGCAGAATTTGACCAGTGGATGTATTTGTGAGAAATATATCAGTTGATCCTACTAAAAGGAGAAGGTCTTCACTGAATAGGCTGCCCTCAACAGTCCAAACCGTTCCAACTTCCAAAGATCCAGGTAGTGTTACTCTCCGAAGAGTTTTTCCATTGCGCAAATTTATAGTCAGTATCTGGATATGCAGTGGGTCTGAGAACGTAGTGGTAACATAGGCTGTCTTTCCATCGCAGCTAAAGCCACAGCATTGATACACAGACTCACCGGGGACTTTCATCGAGGAAATCAGGGATCCACCAGGGGAGGTCAAGCACTTGTCACTCGGTATCAGGCAAGGGACCGATGAGAAATAAGCTTGTTGCAGTAGGAGGTTAATGCCACTGAATTCGTCTTTACCGTGAAGTGAGGTAAGCCTACCAAGAAGCTGAGGAGCCAGTTGATTGGCGTCACTTTTAAGAGCAACGGATGACAACTGCAATGTTTTCTCCAACTCGATGAGGTCTTCATCCTCTGGATAGACAAGGAGTGAGGCAACAAAGTCATCAAGAACTGACTCTAAAGACGTTGCTCGTAGTTTAGCTAAGAGCAATTCAAAGTTGCAAAGTGCCTCTTCCTTGAGTCTCTGTAGGTCACCAGCGTGCAACAGATGATGCGGCAACTCATTCAATTTTCGCAGGTTGAAGACTTCCCTCTTTTCGTTCTCGTTGCGAAACGTTAAGGGTTGTTTGGCCAACAACCGATCCTTGACCACTGTCTGTCCGTCTTTGTCAACATAAGGTTTTCCCGCACCGTTAGCCCACTTGCCCAGAAAGTAGTCAGCAAGTTTTGAATGAACTTCTGCTTGAGTTCTCAAGTAACGATCGGTTGCCACTTCGATGAACTGGCGATGGTACCAATAAATCACTCGAGAGTCATCTGCTCCGCGTTCTATAAGGTAGTCTCCAATGTCAGAACGGATACGAATCCACAGCAACGGTGGTAGTCTTCGAAATGGGGGCGTCCAGTACTGATAGACGTCATCGAGGACCTCGTCATCCAAGGACAGGATATCTTCTAACTCAGGCTCCGTCAGGCCATTTTTCGATGCAGTGATGTAAGCCAAAGCATGGCTAACCAGGATCTTCCCATGGCGTCTCTCCACTTGATCAAAAAACTTATTGACAACGTTTTTCACACCGGCAGGCAGAACTGTTTCATTTGCTGGAGTGTACGACTTCCAACGACAAGCTTGATCAAAGGACAGCTTCAGGTACAAGGGCAATGGGCATTCCTCGAAGGCCTTCAACACCATTACCTTCTGAGCTGGGACCAACCTGCGCTGAGAGGAGCTGAGCCAGCTCTCTAAAATGACATCAGCTTCGTATGCGGGGATGGTAGGGATCTCTTTGAAACATCGGTCAGGAAAGATTGTCTGGAAGTATAAGCAAACATTAGCGAATTATTTGAAAGTTGAAATGTGCAGGCTCCTTTTACATAAGTGTTACATGAGTATAACGTGCATTAATTATTGACGTCTGCTTGACTATCAATAACAATGTATCTACCACGCGTTAAAGTACGGGAAAACCCATCAGAATCCGCCCGAGTGTCTCCTTTATGAAAGTTGTAGATATACATGAAATACCAGTACAGGAAACACATTTTTACCTTTCTGTCGAAAGTACGGAGATCGAACACAATTTTGCCAAGATGGTGAAACGCTCATTTTGAAGTCTGAAATTATGGGAGGTCGGCGGTTCGTAAACAGGGTATATTGTCAAAACGGCACATTAATTAATTGTGGGATGTGGCTGAAAATGGCAAAGCTAAAGAATGAGGATAAGCTTACAGCCACAGAATGTGTACGATGACGACAATGGTAGAGGGCGTTACGCCAGGGCTATATCAAAACAAGAACTATTTGCTACCTTTAAATGTGGTAGGCACTCGTATTCAGCGCCAGGTAGGGTCGACATGATCAAGTAAAAGTCGTCTGGTATTTTTGCTGGTAACCAATCTAAACGTCTACCTCCTTCGTCAGCGGGAAGCTGGTCTAAAGAATCAAGCATCAGTACCACGGGACGAGACGAGCAGGCTTCCTCCAAACACTTTGGAAAGAACTCCAAGAGTTCCATTAGGTCCTGAAATGAATCGAGTAAGCACAACTTAGCAGACAAAATAACTATAAATAAGGTACGTCAAGAGGACGCGTAGGCTTAGCATAAAAGGCCATCCATGTGTTTAATTAATTTTGTTCGTTAATGTGGCGGCCAATGAATTGTCTCCGTTTTTGGAAAGTCGAGGGAAGATTTTTGAGGGAGAAAGGCCAGCAAAGCAAGTCTCCACGTAGATACTTCTGGGCCACCAAACGTAGTTACTGTCATGTAGAGGGATGTATTGCAAACCTACATATTTGTGAACTTACCTCAGGTATTTCTGCGCTGTCGTTTTCTGACACCTTATATAACTGTTGGCAGACGCTTCTCAGCAACAATCTGACACTGGATGACGCCGGGGACGTACCAATGAATCTCAACACCACGATAACTGACTCATCCTCCAGCCACTTCTTGATCTCCACTGCTATTTTGGCCATGACTGATGTCTTTCCGCAACCCGATTCTCCGTGAAGTATGACCACCCGTTGGTTCCGATAGTCCAGTAAGGATTGTTTCACCGACTGTAGAAACTCGTCTCGCCCTTGACAAGCTAACCCTTTCTTTTGACAGAAGAGCGCATGTTGTAATATCTCCTCGACTAGTGAATCTTCCTTCTCGCTAGCTTCCTTCTCTTTGATTGCTTCTTGAATCATGTCTGCTAAAACATTATAGACGTCGGTGCAAAGCTTTTCAAGATATTGAGCATGCTCAATAGATGCGTCTGGATTGATGCCGTCATTGGTCCACTGAACATTGTATTGCACCACATTTTTTGCTGATAATACAGCTGGTAGCTCTTTTTCTCTCAAGCTGCTCAGTAGCTTCTGAGCAGACTCATCTACAGCTGAGTCGTCCCCATAGGTCTTGTCCAAGAACTTGCCTGCATTACGATTGTCGACATTTTGGATTAGATCTGTAATCACTCGTTTGAACCAAAAGCAGTGTTTTTCTGGTGCAGTGGCTGAAATTATGCCACGGCGAATCTCGTCTTCTGTCACTAAAAAATCAAATTTAAGTGTATGTTATTTTAAAGATGATTTTACTAATAGCTTGAAATGAATTTGCATCATTTTTTTCCAGAGAAACAATACCTGACATATAATACTTATGTCGGTCGACCTCCTCCAATGCAGCGTCAGCGGCTGCCCTCAAAACAACTTGCATTCTCTCAAACGCCGTCCACCAATCAACAGACGCCTTCTTACGTAAGTCCTGGTTCGTATAGTCACGATAATGAGGTAACAGTGATGTGATTGGCTGCAGCAGATATTGAGCGGGAACAGCATTGTCATCTCTCCAAAACCAATTTTTTAGCAGTTGGAGGTCATCTGGGTTGTCAACTGCTCCAAGGAGCTGCTCAAACTCAGTTGCTGAAATGTTGACCGGAAAGGGACGGTAGCCATATTTTTGCCCTAAGAAGGTCTGAAAGTAAAATGATGACGTTAGTTATTATGAAATAAAGACACGATGTTGCTTTTATTTTGAACTCACAATGAAGTTGGGTCCAGTTGACAACTTCTGACATGCGCGGAGCTCCCTCATACAGAGCTCAGTGGTCATGTGATCATCAGTGGACTCGTCTCGGACTCCCCATCTCATGTCGACCACTTGAAAATCATAGCCTCTCTCTTGACAGAAGGACTTTAGCCTGGGGTACACTCGCTCCATCAATGTGTTACGCTCCACAAAGGTATCTAAACCAAAGATATGGAGAACATTTTTAATTGCAACCGAATTATCAGGCTCTTGCAAACATCGATTTCGAGACAAAATTCTCAAAGCAATTCCTAAAACAAGCAGTCCACTTCGTTAACGAGGGTTAAATGCAAAGCTAGTGTTCTAATGGTTACCTCAAGGAAGTCACCCCATGGGGTATTCTACATGCATGTTAATTCCGCTCAGGTCCGTGTTCTGAAAGTATGTACAACCCTGTCTAGTACATTGTGTCGAGCTTAATACATGAAATATCTGAAAACTTGTTCAATGACCATATTATACCTGTGAATGTTGAACTTGTAAATATCCTGACAATCTTAACATTGTCGGATACTTTAACATCCAAGTCTTCCAAGAACACTTTCTTCCAAGCGCTGTTGAACTCATCAACTTCGGTTGTGTCATCCGTTGTTTTCGCTTCACTTTTTACCACTGTATCTGAAACGTCCTTTGCACTCTCACTGGACTTCACGGAAGACGATTCCGAAGAGTTGCGCTCATTAGGTTCAGTTTCATGAAATCCTTCGTCATTTGTGCGAGTCTCGGAGTCGCTTTCATCACTCGCCTCTGACTTTTCTTCAGGTTCTGATTCCTTCTCGTTGTCATTTGACCTGAGGACGTCTTCCTGAGTTCCAGTACTGGGTTCGTGGTTGTCAGGCTGCGACTGTGGCAAGGGCTCAGGTCGGGGTGGCTGGGAAATTTCCCTTCTCCTTTTTCTTGAAACAATAGTGCCCATGCTTCCTTCAAGTTTGATCATCACGGAAATTTTAAGGAAAAACAAGAGGAAATAGGATTTAAATCTGGAGTAATTAATCACTTGTTTTTGTGTGGGATATAGCGGGTCTCAATTGAGTGTCGAAAGCAATCAGGTAATAATAACTTTGGTTTTGGTTTTGGTTTACTATGGTTTAAGACTGGCTGAGTCGTCTAATTGGTAAGTAACTCAGGGGTTTGGTTTTGGTTTTACGACACGTTACTCAATTGAAAACCGCTCTAGGAGGGACGATTTCTATAACGACTTATGAAGCACAATTAAAGTATTTAAAAAGCTAACTGATCTCCAGTCTCCTTGCAGTCCTGTGCTGTTGTAAAACAACAATTTAGTCAATACTCTCCGCAATAATGGGAAGTTGGAATTCTTAACTGTCCTAACTGAATAACAGTGAATAAGTACAGTACTGAGCTGTGTTTACGGAAACTCTACTTTCCGAGGGTAGATTCTCCTTGGCTATTAACAACTGTTATGCAGAGGTTGTAAACTCCCCAGGGGTACTCTACAAAGTTTTATACGGGGAGACTCCGCCCCGACGTCCAACCCCTTACCCTTTTGTATACCATTTTCACAAGAAAGCTAACCCTTTGATAGAGCTGTAATTGAAAAGAGGTACCCCTTTCGCATGCTTTGATAACTGGTCCGCATTATGATGAAACCGCCTTGAAAGGAAATCGTCGTGTCATTTTCAAGTAGTGCAAAATAAATGAAATGATACAGCCATAAGGTGCGTCTGTTTGAAACATTTTAATTAAAGTCCCTTTTATATATCTCAGAATGACAGATTTTCCTTTCTTTCATATACCTCAACTTGTAAAATCCCTACCCTTTCATGTACCTGAAACCTGAAAAAGGTACCCACTTCGGGCGGGACCTCCCCGTATAGGGCATTATAGGCAGTAACTGCCCCCGGGGTAGACTCCGCGGAAATCGTATGCTTATTTAATCAGTGTATGGTCAGTGTGCGTGACCGTTAATAAATGTGATTTACTCAATCTCTTAACACAATTTGCATAGCGGCTGGCCTCGAGTGCCAGAGAGCAAACAATAAAGAAGTTATGCTATCCTGATTAACAAGCTGTAGTTAAAGAATGACGTGCAACCTGCCTAAAGAATCAAATATTAGAGGTGCAAAATGTCAATTTAATTTAGAAAAAAATAAAAAATCATGCACTTGTTTTATTATCACACGGTTTAGCATTCCTTATTCGCTGATGTACACAAGGAATAATTATAACTTAATTTCAGGTACAAAGCTTGTTATAAATCTAATATACGAGGATTAAACTCATTAAGAACTAGTAAAAAATACTTCGGGGGTTATTTTTTTACGAGTATAAATCATAATGTGAAGAATATATGAAATAATTCATATTTGAACTGCGGTTGTAGATGAAAGTGAAGAATGATCATCGCAGTAAATTTTCCAATTNAATCTCGTCTTCTGTCACTAAAAAATCAAATTTAAGTGTATGTTATTTTAAAGATGATTTTACTAATAGCTTGAAATGAATTTGCATCATTTTTTTCCAGAGAAACAATACCTGACATATAATACTTATGTCGGTCGACCTCCTCCAATGCAGCGTCAGCGGCTGCCCTCAAAACAACTTGCATTCTCTCAAACGCCGTCCACCAATCAACAGACGCCTTCTTACGTAAGTCCTGGTTCGTATAGTCACGATAATGAGGTAACAGTGATGTGATTGGCTGCAGCAGATATTGAGCGGGAACAGCATTGTCATCTCTCCAAAACCAATTTTTTAGCAGTTGGAGGTCATCTGGGTTGTCAACTGCTCCAAGGAGCTGCTCAAACTCAGTTGCTGAAATGTTGACCGGAAAGGGACGGTAGCCATATTTTTGCCCTAAGAAGGTCTGAAAGTAAAATGATGACGTTAGTTATTATGAAATAAAGACACGATGTTGCTTTTATTTTGAACTCACAATGAAGTTGGGTCCAGTTGACAACTTCTGACATGCGCGGAGCTCCCTCATACAGAGCTCAGTGGTCATGTGATCATCAGTGGACTCGTCTCGGACTCCCCATCTCATGTCGACCACTTGAAAATCATAGCCTCTCTCTTGACAGAAGGACTTTAGCCTGGGGTACACTCGCTCCATCAATGTGTTACGCTCCACAAAGGTATCTAAACCAAAGATATGGAGAACATTTTTAATTGCAACCGAATTATCAGGCTCTTGCAAACATCGATTTCGAGACAAAATTCTCAAAGCAATTCCTAAAACAAGCAGTCCACTTCGTTAACGAGGGTTAAATGCAAAGCTAGTGTTCTAATGGTTACCTCAAGGAAGTCACCCCATGGGGTATTCTACATGCATGTTAATTCCGCTCAGGTCCGTGTTCTGAAAGTATGTACAACCCTGTCTAGTACATTGTGTCGAGCTTAATACATGAAATATCTGAAAACTTGTTCAATGACCATATTATACCTGTGAATGTTGAACTTGTAAATATCCTGACAATCTTAACATTGTCGGATACTTTAACATCCAAGTCTTCCAAGAACACTTTCTTCCAAGCGCTGTTGAACTCATCAACTTCGGTTGTGTCATCCGTTGTTTTCGCTTCACTTTTTACCACTGTATCTGAAACGTCCTTTGCACTCTCACTGGACTTCACGGAAGACGATTCCGAAGAGTTGCGCTCATTAGGTTCAGTTTCATGAAATCCTTCGTCATTTGTGCGAGTCTCGGAGTCGCTTTCATCACTCGCCTCTGACTTTTCTTCAGGTTCTGATTCCTTCTCGTTGTCATTTGACCTGAGGACGTCTTCCTGAGTTCCAGTACTGGGTTCGTGGTTGTCAGGCTGCGACTGTGGCAAGGGCTCAGGTCGGGGTGGCTGGGAAATTTCCCTTCTCCTTTTTCTTGAAACAATAGTGCCCATGCTTCCTTCAAGTTTGATCATCACGGAAATTTTAAGGAAAAACAAGAGGAAATAGGATTTAAATCTGGAGTAATTAATCACTTGTTTTTGTGTGGGATATAGCGGGTCTCAATTGAGTGTCGAAAGCAATCAGGTAATAATAACTTTGGTTTTGGTTTTGGTTTACTATGGTTTAAGACTGGCTGAGTCGTCTAATTGGTAAGTAACTCAGGGGTTTGGTTTTGGTTTTACGACACGTTACTCAATTGAAAACCGCTCTAGGAGGGACGATTTCTATAACGACTTATGAAGCACAATTAAAGTATTTAAAAAGCTAACTGATCTCCAGTCTCCTTGCAGTCCTGTGCTGTTGTAAAACAACAATTTAGTCAATACTCTCCGCAATAATGGGAAGTTGGAATTCTTAACTGTCCTAACTGAATAACAGTGAATAAGTACAGTACTGAGCTGTGTTTACGGAAACTCTACTTTCCGAGGGTAGATTCTCCTTGGCTATTAACAACTGTTATGCAGAGGTTGTAAACTCCCCAGGGGTACTCTACAAAGTTTTATACGGGGAGACTCCGCCCCGACGTCCAACCCCTTACCCTTTTGTATACCATTTTCACAAGAAAGCTAACCCTTTGATAGAGCTGTAATTGAAAAGAGGTACCCCTTTCGCATGCTTTGATAACTGGTCCGCATTATGATGAAACCGCCTTGAAAGGAAATCGTCGTGTCATTTTCAAGTAGTGCAAAATAAATGAAATGATACAGCCATAAGGTGCGTCTGTTTGAAACATTTTAATTAAAGTCCCTTTTATATATCTCAGAATGACAGATTTTCCTTTCTTTCATATACCTCAACTTGTAAAATCCCTACCCTTTCATGTACCTGAAACCTGAAAAAGGTACCCACTTCGGGCGGGACCTCCCCGTATAGGGCATTATAGGCAGTAACTGCCCCCGGGGTAGACTCCGCGGAAATCGTATGCTTATTTAATCAGTGTATGGTCAGTGTGCGTGACCGTTAATAAATGTGATTTACTCAATCTCTTAACACAATTTGCATAGCGGCTGGCCTCGAGTGCCAGAGAGCAAACAATAAAGAAGTTATGCTATCCTGATTAACAAGCTGTAGTTAAAGAATGACGTGCAACCTGCCTAAAGAATCAAATATTAGAGGTGCAGAATGTCAATTTAATTTAGAAAAGAATAAAAAATCATGTACGTGTTTTATTATCACACGGTTTAGCATTCCTTATTCGCTGATATGTACACAAGGAATAATTATAACTTAATTTCAGGTACAAAGCTTGTTATAAATCTAATATAAGAGGGTTAAACTCATTAAAAACTAGTAAAAAAAACTTCGGGGGTAATTTTTTTACGAGTATAAATCATAATGTGAAGAATATATGAAATGATTCATATTTGAACTGCGGTTGTAGATGAAAGTGAAGAATGATCATCGCAGTGAATTTTCCAATTGCTTAAATTATGAACTCAATTAATTGACCTCGCTCCCAATGCGTGGCTTCATAGCTCAGTTGGTAGAGCATCGCATCTACAACAGCAGTTCAAATATGAATTATTTCATCGCACCCGTATCGCGGAGGTCACGGGTTCGAATCCTGTTGAAGCCCTGATTTTTCTTAAGGCTTCCTCTTTCCAGTTGCTTAAATTGGAAAATTTACTGCGATGATCATTCTTCACTTTTATAAATCATACATTGGCTTAAACTGCAGGCGCTTGGTACGAACGTTTCCGTAACTAATTCAAATTATTTTCCTAATGCAGATCGAGAAAGGCTGGGGTCTTAGTTTCTATACAGTAAAACAGTTTATCGAAATTAGATAGCTCGGGTTCCCTCTTGAGGTTATTCGATAAATTTGACTGACCTGATTAATGTCAATAAACACACTAGTCTTTTATCGGCTCGGCGTTGTGCCCAGTCAAACCAAAATTTTACAAAATTTAACAAGAATGTTAAATATTACTGGCAATTTGTCAGCGACAATCGCCAAAGTGTTGCAGCAGAATACTTTACTGATAACTGTTAGTTATTTGTACTCCACTATCCACTAGCCTTGTGTACATCTCAATACATTATTCTTAGCCAACTTTTGGGCTTAATATTTTTAAAATATTTTTCTGTACATGCTTCAGTTAACTCTTATGTTCGGGTTAAAAATTAAATAAGCAATATTCCATAACGATTTTTACTTGAGCCAGTATCCAATATTCATGACACGTATTCCCCTTCAACCAACGATACGACAAGCGCCAACATGTCAGCCAGCTGTTGATTCTGTTTACTTTTTTTCCCAGATCGTTTAATAAAATCCATCAGAAAAATGGAAAAACATTTACACNTTCATATATTCTTCACATCATTTCACTCCTCACGGGAAGATATGAACTCGATTAATTGACCTCGCTCCCAGTGTGTGGCTTCATAGCTCAGTTGGTAGAGCATCGCACCCGTATCGCGGACGTCACGGGTTCGAATCCTGTTGAAGCCCTGATTTTTCTTAAGGCTTCTTCTTTCCAGTTGCTTAAATTGGAAAATTTACTGTGATTATCATTCTTCACTTTTATAAATCACACATTGGCTTAAACTGCAGGCGCTTGGTACGAACGTTTCCTTAACTAATTCAAATTATTTTCCTAATGCAGATCGAGAAAGACTGGGGTCTTAGTTTCTATACAGTAAAACAGTTTATCAAAATTAGATAGCTCGGGTTCCCTCTTGAGGTTATTCGATAAATTTGACTGACCTGATTAATGTCAATGAACACACTAGTCTTTTATCGGCTTGGCGTTGTGCCCAGTCAAACCAAAATTTAACAAAATTTAACAAGAATGTTAAATATTACTGGCAATTTGTCAGCGACAATCGCCAAAGTGTTGCAGCAGAATACTTTACTGATAACTGTTAGTTATTTTTACTCCACTATCCACTAGCTTTGTGTACATCTCGATACATTATTCTTAGCCAACTTTTGGGCTTGATACTTTTAAAATATTTTTCTGTTCATGCTTCAGTTAACGCTTATGTTCGGGTTAAAAATTAAATAAGCAATATTCCATAACGAGTTTTACTTGAGCCAGTATCCAATATTCATGACACGTATTCCCCTTCAACCAACGATACTACAAGCGCCAACATGTCAGCCAGCTGTTGATTCTGTTTACTTTTTTTCCCAGATCGTTTAATAAAATCCATCAGAAAAATGGAAAAACATTTACACGTTCACAGCTATCGCGCTACTCTCTTGTACGGCTAACGCGAGATCTTTGCCATTAGCGAGAATAACAACCGTGATCATACGAAAGTCTATCACTTTCTGCAGGAGCATAATTTGCGGCAAGGTTTATAATTTTTTTACTTTCGTCGTTAAAACAGCTACTTACTTGGTATCCACACAACCGCTACACGAGAGCCATTTCATAATGTTTCATCTGCCATAGGTTCCATTGTCGCCGCGTGCTGTAGTTAAGTTGTAAGCGGTTAATAACCAACTGAATTATATTAAATTTACAGTATCGCCAAGACAACACTGAGAGAAACTGTGAACGCGCCACGCGAACGCAAGACAAAGTTCGCAAGACTTGATGGTCGAATTCTGTTTAACACAGATGCTATAACTGTCAAGGATATTTAGCTTTGGTTAATTACCTGGCAACCTGTATCTGATCCAGTCCAGAACTGCGTTTTCGAAATGGAATGCGGACAAAACATATTATGCAGGAGTAACGCTTTACAAAGGTGCACAAACGTTTGACTTACGCAAATTAAAATTTGTCAAGAGCCCCTTTTATTTAAAGCCCTTAGGGCTGCCGTAGGAAACACGCAAGTTTTGTCACGCTAGAGAGCCTTACAACTGACATTTAAATAAATTTTCTAGACTGCTCAGTCAAGCTTAGTGAATTATGGATAACTGGAAATTCATTTTTACATCTTTCAGCTCCGAATGCAAGTTCTGCTTTTTTCATCTAAGAACTAAGTCACGTGGCGTCAGGTCGTTAATCACCCGTGATATAGAAATTGAAGGAAGTCGAAATAATCCTAATGCTGTTTGCTAAAGAGAGCATTCTAAAGCAAAAAGGAACAAGCATGATTGAGACTGAAGACTAGACTGAGACAAATTTATAATGTCCTAGCTTACCATTTCAGCCATTTGGACATCCACGGTTATGAAGAAGGCTCACAGCTGGAATTGTAACCATGCAATCGGGATAAACTTGAGCTGAAAACTGCAAACCCAATGGATTCTAGCCTAACCGTTCGTTAAGCCCCCAAATAAAACTTGTCTCAGACTCAGTGAATTCTTTTTTTTTTTGCACCCTTGACTCATACTATTTCATAGTTAAACCCAGGAATGAAAAGAGAGAGACATTCTCTTCTCCGACCTGGGTTCAACCCCTTTACATTTTACCAGAAGAATGATTTACTGAGTAAAAAGAGGCCAAGTGGGCCAGTGGAATCGTATTTGAGGCTGAACGACTTGCATTCGATTCTTAGCAGCAAGGTTTCAATATATTCTCTGATTTCAATTAATTCGATCCTTAAGTTTTTTAAGGGATACCACCAAACGTGATATGTTAAGTATCGAATTAATTGAAATTAAGAGAATCAAGAGAAAATAAGAATATATTGAAATCGCTGCCACGTCACTGGTTTGACGGAGCGCACGATTTTTCCGCCAAACTTCCCCTCCCCCAACCCCCACGCAAATACTACTATTAATACCAATAATAATAATAATAATAATAATAATAATAATAATAATAATAATAATAGTAATAATAATAATAAGCCATGCACATGCACATCCTTTGGGAGCAGCCGCCTTTAAATTCCCAGGTCAAACATCTTAATTTATTCCTTTCATACTAATTAGTCTCCTTTCTTAGCTTAAATAGTTTTACCCTTTTTTTTGGTTCGCGCCTTCATCCTTAATTATTCTTGTTAATATCTCACTTTGTTATACTATTTATTACATATCCTTTTTCTATTTTTTCACTGCACAACTGACGGTGAATGATGTCTCATCCGAAACATGTATTGTTTTCATTAAATAATAAACTTCAAAAACGTCGTGTGGTTCATCAAAACAACAACAACAATGATAATAATAATATTAATAACAATAATAATAATAATAACTTTATTACAAATCATCGAATAGTTACAAAACAATAAACTATTGCAAAAATCATTAAAGTTAAGAACTATGAGAAGACTGTATAATCCTTTGTTATAAATGACATAAGAAGAAAACCAAAATAATGGCTCAGCTTCCAGAAAATGTGAAAAAAAATAGGCTAAAAAAGCTTGCTTTATAAGTAGTCTAAACATCGTATTAAGCTTAAATAATGTCAGCAACAAAAATACTACAAGCACTTAACAATAATAATCAAAAGAAGTCCCCTCATTTTCATTCGTAATAATATAATTATTATGATCATTAATTACAATAATATAATTATAATGTAAGATAATATAAAATAATATGTATTATATTTAAAATATAATTATAACAACAATAACAATTATTATTATTATTATTATTAATATTATTATTAAGCATATTCTGCGTATTCCGAGTAAACTGTGTTCTTTTTGTTCTGCTATCGGGAGTGGAGTAAATGAAAGAATACTCCGTTCATTACAAAAACGGAATAATTCCCAAACGAACGCAAACACCGTCTATTTCGAGTATTCCATTCTGGAATAGTCCTAAAAGAGCGCGCCCCAAACTAATATTGCAAAGAGTGTGTTAAAATACTTCTGCACTGTATTATACTAGCTCTACAAGACTGCACTATTACATTTGAACTTGACTAAGGCTAGGAGTGAACTCCACGGCCTCAAAATGAAGATTACGATTCTGGCCAACGTGGAGAGATGATTCTTTCCGGCTTTAGTCTCACCTATCTATTTTTAGCGGAATGGAAAAAAAAGGTGGGGGTTGGGGAAGAAAACGGGTGCCCTTTGAGGTTAAAAGGTAATTTCCAAAAGCATTTTTCGAGGGAATAAAAACTGAGGGTTGTATGAAGAGGGAAAAGCACTCCGGGGACGAGGTTGTGAAATACATTTTGTTGTGAAACAAGGATTTAAAAGAAAACGAGGCATATCTGACACTCATAATACTTTAATGATCATAAGAAAAGTTTAACACTCGTTTTACCGGGTAAACAATTGTAAATGTGTATATCATTCACTGAATTCTGTTAATGCAGTTTAATGCGTCCAAAAGGGAAATTAGACTACCGCTATTGTTGGAGCCTACATTGTACCAAAAGAGCAAGGAAATGGAGATTCGTGTAAATCGAAGGACACCTTATCGACACGCTATCGAACTCTTATTTGGTTTAAATCAATTACCCCTCTGTGGGTGAGAAGTAACATTTTTTTATGCTGTCTAATAGGATCAGTTTTTGTGCTCCGATCTTCCTTAGATTTTCGTATCATTTCTAAAAAGCCACAATCAATTCTTGACATCACTATTACTGCTATCTTATCGTATATCTAATGTAATTCGCAAGTTCTTGGCATGGGTTATTTCACACCTCTCTTAAGCTACTATCCAGCCTATATATTACCTTTAGCATGGGTTACTGACGCAGATGGATGAACTACGTAGAACTTGGAACACACACTCCAGCAACTGAAAGGGGTTGCCAGGTTCACAGATCACTTAAAGCACACAGGGGTTTTTTTAAGCTCTTGATGACTATATGGCGGAATTTTTGGGATTGTAAGTCTGCAGTTTCGCTGCTGTCGTTATCCCCAACCAATTGGTGACTGTTTCTGTGTCCTGAAGATTGTTGATGTCTGATCGCCTGTGCAGCTTGCCATCTTTAACTTGAAACAACGGAGAGTTGTTTTTCTCTTCCTGGTCAACAAACGGTATCAGATCGGTCACCACAGCAGGGTCAAGAGTCTGGTTGGGATTTTTGTAGGCCTTGTACACCTGGTCACTGGATTTCGCAACAGCCTCTTGTGCAATCTTAAAATTACTTCCGCTCTCTTCTTTCAGCAGCATGTCGTCGCCATATGAAATCCACTTGTCTCCCCTCTTGTTCTGGACACGCAGACCATGCTTGTTGTCTTCATCGTGCATGTACTTACAGAGCAAGTGGCCAACTTTCCCCACCCTAGTCGCCTTTCCCAGCTCAACTCGTGGCGTTCTACAAACAAAGAAAGTTTTACAGTGGTTTTTGAAGATCAAAATTTGATTCAAGCAAACGACTTGACTGGTTCTTGGAGAGGATACAGCTTAAAACAACGCACAAAGTAAAAATTGTTGCCAAAGAAATGTTTAAAGTGAAAATAACCAACTAAGAACTAATGACACCACTTAATAATTAGTCATAACAAGTATGAAAATCGAAGCGGAAAGTATAAACTATATAAGATAAAAAGTAAGTGGTAAGAAGTAACACTCCATCATTCAAGTTTAATTTCATAATAATAATAATAATAATAATGATAATAATAATAACAATAATTATAATAATAATAACTATTAATAATTAATTAATTAATTTCTACTAGTTAGTTAATTAATTGATTTATTTATTTATCAGTTCATGAAGGAACAGAAGCGAATTCCCGCTTCTGTTAAGGAACAGACTATATTGCTGGAAACCGTTTATTACAAACGGCGCTGTTTACCTTATGTGACCACTGGCAAAACTATCAGTGAGGAAATGGCAGGAAAACGCCTCCAATGAAAATGCTTCATGAAGAAGCATCTTGGGCTCGTCTTTAACATCCCCGCTATAGCTACCAGCCTCCCTCGCTTTTGTCAATCGCTAGCTGATGACCAGTTAGGTACGCGTCTTTTGCATGAGGAAGGAAATGATCGTGGTTGTTTTCAGCCAATTGCATCATCCTGCCAAGTTTGACTGGTACACCAGCAACCCATACACCGCCAGTAATTTTGTCCCATATGCTTGCATCAACAGCCGCACCAGCCACGCGTTCTTTCTCTAACGTGGCCAACAGCTTGTCTAACTCATTCTGTAACTCCTTCTTCGGTGTGCGTGCCAGGGTGTTGTAAGCGTCTCTGAAGCGCTGGTGCCTACCAGAATCCTCTTGGTCAACATCGTTGAAAGCCGGATCGATAATTGGTTGATTCGGTAAACCATACAAATCTCCGGCAAGCGCTACGATTTCTTCAAACTTAATTTCTACACCATTTCGAAGCGTAAGGAGTTTTAGTTCCTCCAACTTTATCTTGCCAAGCTTCGCATGCTCAAATCCTACAAATTTTGCGTCACATTCATCAAATCCATCATGATCAAACAACCTGGTTGTCTGATCGTCCAGACGTGCAACCGGGGTCAGCAATACTGAATGCCGCAAACGATTAAGGGAACACATTTTAGTGACGTGGGTTTGACCTCAACCTGTGAAGACATTATTCCTGTTAGATTAAATTTGATCAGACTGCCTTTAGCTTAAAGTGCCACTATGATGAAATTTTCGATATCCATTTTTTTACATTTTCGTACACAATAGCTCTTTCCTAGATATCTTGCCAAATTTCAATCTATTACGAACATTAGACCTCGCGGTTTTTGGACCTTTATTTTCGAGAATTTACGGCCGCAATTAATTTTCCTTGTTCCAAGTCTTGGTTGAGAGTTTGAGAAAATGATGTCATTTTCTCAAAAATAGTGCACGGGTTGAAATTATAATAACAATTAATGTAGAAAATTGCACGAATATGTGAACGAAAGTTTTTGTTATATTTTATGCGAATTGCTGTGCTAATTGTTATCATAATTTCAACCCGTGTGGTATTTTTGAGAAAATGACGTCATTTTCTCCAATTTTGAAACAAGGAAAATTAAAGGCGGCCGTAAATTCTCGGAAATAGAAGTCCAGAAAATGTGAGTTCTAATGTTNCTTATGGGACTACTGTACCAGAGCTATCAATTGCGCTCTGCACTATCTGAGATTGTCTCACTAGTTTTTATTTGCGGCGTGTCCCTTGTGGACCATCGTACAGAATAGATAGCAAGTAGCGTAGCCAATAAGAGAACGGCATTCGTGATAGAACGCTAGTAGATTTATACTAAATTTCCGACTGGATAAGCTTTCCAGTACTTCGAATGATTCAAATAATGCAAGCAGTGTTACTAATTCGGATCTCATTTTGCGTTATTTAAATTCTTCTAAATGGGTAAAACAGAAAGTTGCGTTCTTTTTTTTGCTTAAGAATAACATTCGTTGTGGCAGCAACAGCTGTTTGTAAAACGCATGAACGACAGCAATAATTCACCAGCCCCCCTCCCCTCCCCGAAATGAAATTATACCGGCAAAATAAAGCTTAACTGGTCAGGTGCCTGTGAAATATTTGAAGTATATTTAATACATTTAATTCCGTGTATTTTACTCGTTCGCTGGAGGGTGTGATCTCTCAATCTTGCCAGCCGGTTCTCGTAAAATACTTTCCCTTAGATTACGCACTTTATCGAAATGTTCCATAAAAAAGCCAGAAATCTGTCAGTGATGTCAGTGAGTACTCTCTAAGCCTGGCGAAAAAAGTTGCAAGTTCTAACTTTTAACGGCAAATGTGAATATGTTACCTTTAGCTGGCTGAACACTATTAATAGTAACAAATTCTGAACGCACTGAGGTTTGTTTTTGGATCATTCTCATATCCACGAGAAAGTTAGAAATAAAAAAAAAGAAGTGACGAGAACTGATGCGGAAATTCCATGTAATTAAAATGGCGGAGATACATTCTTGAGTGTTTCCTATTCGTCTGGAGACAACTTCCCGCTGGCGAGTTTTGACGCATACCAACGACAGACGGCTATTGGCGGTAGGAGCCGGTTAACGGACGCAAATTCCAAATTTCAACTTTGAAAACTTTCTGTTGATTCTAATTGAAACTGTATAATGGTTATGGCGTGTGCTCAGCCCTGGAAAGAATTTGCTTGTCCTGATGTTACAGTTTAACATTAATGTTGTTCAAACGGCTCACCTTAAGATCGACTCTTTCTCGCAGACGATCCTAAACAGCCGACTCTGATAAACCAAGTCCACTAAAGTACACTGG